CCATAGTCATATGGAATTTTAATTTATTCCTTCACTCGCTTGACCCTGCGGAGCGGTTATATACGTACCCTAAACTCCCCAGGTTTAAAAATAATGGCGTAATCATATAACGTCCCGACAGGTAGTGTAAGTGACGTAATGGAAATACAACACAAAATAGCCATTCTCAATATTATGAATCTAATAAGGTACATTAGTTTACACTAGATTTAAGAGTCTAAAAGAGTTCTATTGGGCTGTTACATATTTGGATTCTAAAAGCATATTTCTGAATGGCCATAAATTGATCTTTGTGTGGGTGCACTAAGGTGCATATACGTACGTACGAAGCACTTGAGTCAATCTCAATAGGTGATTCTTTCAGTTCTGTGTGTTCCCTTCTTCTAAGTACATCATGTTCCAAAGCCGCGTCTATATAGACCTTCTCCTGAACTGATTTGTAAGCTATCCCATGGGCCATGGGGTAAACCTGAGACCATTCTCTTACACATAACAGTTTCGGATTGATCGCTTCATTTGATGGCTTCATTGGAAAGCCAGCTTATCTGACACATCTCGATTGCATGAAGCAACCAACACTTTGGGTGGCCGTTTTCGCCTTCAATTAATGCGAAATCAGCGTGTGCTAGAACACGAAGTAGGATGATCACATTTTCTCTCTTGCGAAGTTGCGAAGAAACTGGACCATCATATATCTGTTAGATCACACTTTGGCTAGGCTGTTGACACTGTTGTCTAATAGCAACAGCTAATGCTGATTGATTGCTGCTGAGGAGGTATTTAGTAACTGTTGAGATACGAAGCAGGTGGCGAGACTGGAATCAAATAACAGAAAATCAGCGACAAGGCCTCGTAGCTACAGTATTATAGGGTATGGATAGATGGATGATATCATTTACCTTGACCTTCCCCGTGGGGATTATACAAGTCTGTCATATACCCTTCTACATGGTGTTTTGTAATTGGCTTATCAACGCGCGATGAGAATAATTGCCTGCTCTTCAGAAACTTTGTCAAGGCCGCTGAATTTCAGGGATCATGTGATGCTCAACGTAGGACTACCTCCCATAAGGTGCAAATTGTCCCTCAAGTAAGTAGACTAATAGTAAGACATTCCAGCCTTGGAGTTCTACTAGTTACACTCAAAGGGAGGCCTACCCGCTCATTACTGATATCAATCAACTGGCACAAAGAAGAAGAGTGTAATCATCGCATGTTCCAGATCAACTGGAGGCCCAAGGTTTTCTCGAAGTGTAGTTAAGTTTAGGCCTAATGGATGAAGCCATTGGCTTGCAGCAGGATGTCTTTCGTCCAAGGGTCATTACAAGCCCTCGAAGACTTGCCGACAAAGGCGGGCTTACATCAACCTCATGATCAGAAACGGGGCTTTTAACGAACTGTCGCAATGCCAGGGTTCAAAGACCAGCCTGCGGGGTTGGCGTGCTGCAAGTCCATCATTCCCGCTATACTTAATTCCATGAGCATCAGCGGGTCCGGTGAAACTAATATAATCATATTTCACCGGTCACCCTTATGCCGAGATCGAGCGCATGAAGATAAAATTTCCTGTCCTGGTAGATGCCTAACGTTAGGCCGTGGGGCGAGACTAAAATTGGATACTACTAGATACCATAATAATAAGTCTTCCAAAGCGCCTGCCAATCGAAGAAAATACGTTATTGATGTAGGTATCAGCATTGACAATTTGCGGAAGAAAATCTGCACTCTGCATCTAAACGGGCTAATTACTATATCCAATCAAGGGTGAGTGCTTAACCTATCCGTAGTCAAATTCTTGCTCTAATTAGCCACTTCGCGCGAGAAATTTCATTACCAGCTGGTCCATAACCAGGGCCAGATATTATATTCCATTTAAAGTGAGTGTTTGGTTCGCGAAGGCGAATGTGTCTCACCATGGAAAATTGAACCAGGAGCGACAATCCATAGAAGGTTGTATATTGAAGCTGCACAGGTGGAGCCATCATTATCAACAAAGAACGCAGTTCCAAATACATACAGTAAATTTTTGTTAGGTCTACCTTTCTTATTATTGTCGGATTGGCGGGTTTTGTCCATGTCAGTCCTGAATAGTAGCCTACAAGGATGCGAAAAGAAGGAGTGACTAAACGCAAGAAGATACAGTACACTATCCCGCTCTGGTAAACATCACTGGCCGTTTGCGGAAGGAACACTGAGCATGAACGGATCCAAATACCTCACCAATCAAGCTATACTCTTCTAGGAACTCTAACAGCGCTCGTGACTCTTGAAATAAAGAACATACTTACCTCGTTGCATTGTCCGACCGGAGTCAGGTGGCTCTACGAAAGTCGATTAACAAGCACTAGATGTCTTTTATAACTAGCCATGCTATATCGTAGACCACATGAAGTTGCACTTTTGCACTTTACACCGTTCCATATTTAACCAGAGATTAATTAGTCATGACAAAACAATAATGACCTCCACCTCAGACTGATGCTAGTTTGCGAGGGACAGATGCCCTGAAAGCAAAGGTTGGATCTACATGCATACTAGAACTTTGGAATAAAGTCTCGGCCTGGAACTACCACGCGTCAATGTAAGCCTCCGACACAATCACTAATACCAAGCATCGGGCTGCTGAAAATGAAGCTACTACTTGATCCGGCACATGATCCTGGACTTTCTATGGAGTAGTGTATTAGAGTTTATATAAAAATCAGGCCGTTCTGAACACACAATAGTACAGTATGGTTTTTTGAGGCTTATCTTCATTTTTATTGACTTTTGAATTCGTGGATCTCACAGGATCTGCCCAATTTCTGCATCGGTCAACCGGATTGCCATATTTAAGTGACTGCGCCGTGAGGAACGGATCCACAGCTTGCCCCCAATCTTGATGATCTTCTTATCATCTCCGCGTGTATTTATGGATCCGTGATACAGAGTAGTCTAGTTCGATAATTCCGCTCGTGTCGGCTTGTACGTGACATCTCAAGCCGTAATTCAATGTATCAAAATTATGTACGCAAAAGTATGGAATCCTTTACATATCCTTGTTGTTTTTTCTCTTTAACAGTAAAAGCGGGAGACGTCTTTCACCCCCTATTCGGTGGATCCTTCTCTGAAGTATTTATCACGCTCTGTTGACTGATGCATCTGATCTGTCTGATTGGTTGAACTAGCTTGCTAATCCAACATCTCATTCTTTGTTCTTGAGGTCTGTTACCTCCATGCAAACCTCCGGGTTTCTCAGCGCTTCCTGCGCCTTCATTTCCGAGATCTCTCCATTGTCATACTGTACCAAGAACAATAACTCCTCTGTGTTACCATTCTCTAAAGGAATGAAAGAAGAAGAAAGGAAGCATGGAGTCCTCGGTACGTGCAACTTGATTGGACGTACATAGTTAACTAGCCCTGTCGTATAAAATTCTTTTATTCACATCCAAGCATCGGACCCAGGTTTAATATAGATGGGTTTAGCATTTTTCATTGGCATCAATAAGAAGAATAAAGGGCATTGTTTTGTGACTAGGATATAACATAGCCAATTAAATATGTCTTGGTTGTTGTATTGTAGTTTAAGATTTCCCATGATCAGCCCACTCCAATCGGATGACCCCGGTGGTTCTCCTACCGTTTTACTCCATACGGAGGAGTTAGCTGTAATCAATTATGATACACGTACTAGTATATTCTCTGTGCCTTCTGAGATGTGTAATTGTATGTATTGTGTATGTCTAGTTTTGCAATCGCTATAGAGAAGAAAAGTCATCGGCCAATGAGAGCCAAGTTGTAGATTTCGTATTAGGCCTAGCCATAACCGTAACACGGTTAATACCATACTCCCACCTCTATACAGATTACATCCTTCTGATAGGGCCATCCATCTCATTAGCTGTTAGCATTGATTGGTAGTTCTTTAGTTCGAATAAATAGACCATGGATCCAAGCCTCACTAGAGGCTAGCCTGCCTCCATTACGCTCCTATTTGCTACAACTTTATAGCTTCATGAAGCATATTGACGTGGGCACTCATGCCATAAATGTAACGTGATACAATCACATAGAGACCTATCTTTTACAGTATTGTATTTTTAATTAACAGGCCCATGTCAAATCCTAATAGATATTGCATGTACATAGTCAAAATACTCTCCGCACATTTTAGGAATGAGACCAGCCATTGTGCTGCTTCAAGATCCAGCTGATAGAAATTCCCCACCTAGATATCGATATGAAACTGCGATCTCAGTATGGACGCACTTAGCCTAACATCGCTAATATAAGTCATTAATCCGTCGGTCCAGCGCATATTATCTGGGGGAGACGAGGCAACCAGTGAGATGAGAAGGATAAGCTAGATAAGTTTCAGTGGTTGAAATTCGACAGCTTCTTAACATCTTCTAGACTAGCTAGCATCAAAAAAATACAATAAAGCTTGCGTCATTCTTTTCGAGTAAGCAGTAAGTAATCCTGTGGATATGAAAAGAGTATAATTCACTGACAAGTAATCCAGAAATGTGCTTCTATAATCAGAAAAGGTTCATTTGTGGAGACTGGAGCTGGACAAACTTTTCCCACCAGTGCAATTATGAGTGCCGGACGGGCGAGACATGTGGCATGAAACTGGTGAACTTCACAGGACATGAATCAAAGAAATGTCAGCTCTGTAAGAAGATTGAAATCAAGTTTCACCGCCGCAAAAAGGAGTTGGAACGATTAGAGCGTTGGAAATGTGAGCGACGTGACCTAGGGGCAACAATAAATCGCTCACAGAATCTAATCTGTGATCTTGAAAAGGACATTAAGCAACTTCAAACAGAGCTGGTTTGTAAGAGAAGGGCTCTCTCTTAAGAAAAGAGACCGACTGGCACGCAGCCACTTAGTAGTGATGGTTGCTAAGAATCTGACTTGGTATGTTTTTCTTCAAATTTGTTGCCTTGCTGACGCCTCATTTTGATCGAGACTTGGTTACTGATGGCGTTGAACGAATCCAATTTGGAATATTTGAGTCCATGCCTTTTAACAACTTCTTTTGGGACTTCAATGGCTCCACTCACGTTGTCTTGTGCATCGAGACATCAAGCCCGGCAATATCGGAGTTCGCTTTGGGCATCTTCATGTTTCAATCCTCGACCTTGGTTCGGTTGGTAAATTGGATGATAGCACTAGTCTTATTCCCTCTTTACGAGGCGAGCTAGTAACTGTACATCATCTTGCACCAGAAATGGAGCTCGAAGCTATAATGAGGAAGTCGATATTTACGCGAGTAGCCTTTTTGGGTGCGAAATCTTCTTAGACCATCATCCTTGGCTGCTGTCTGTTAATCCATGGCGCCCTGATAAGAATCCAAGGCTTAGGGAGTACAAATCACGTCATGAACAGTCCCTAAGGTCCTTGAATCACAAGACAGGGGCTAAAAGGTCAGGCCAGTGCTAGCCCTAATCGCAGATATGTTGAAATGGGACCCTTAAGCAATACCTTTCGTCTCAAAGCGCATTAAGACATCAGTACTTTCTGGATTTCACAGTTCAGGAACAACGAGATGATTTAAAACGACAGAAAAGACTTTAGTCCTTAATACATATCTTTTGATATCCATTGTCATTTATTTCTATGTACAAAACCAGAAATAATATAGCGCTGACATTTATGTACCTCAACTTCATTCCAATCTCGGATGTAGAGCCGCAGAATAACTAAGTAACTGTATAATTCTCCCTCCTTCTATTTAGCTTATTCGTCTTCTTTTTCTGGGCATCCTCAGCAGATGTTTTACCTTGGAGTCACTGGATAATATCCAGGGACGTGGCAGAGTGCTGACTCTCACTAGTGCTGAAAAACTTCGTCCCATTACGCGCGATAAGAGCGGCTGGGGGTTTATGGAGTGTTTCTCCTTGGTGGTGAATGCTTATTGGAAGATCCTTTGTTTCCAATTCTGAGAACTGCATATTTTCTTTGCTGAGTTCTATAGGAGGTATTCAAATGATGCGAAAGTTGCTTGATACTTCTCAGTGTGACAAAAGATTTTCACAGATTGTGACGGTGCCAATCTGCTTGGTTTGAGTACGCTATTCTGGCTAACTATCTCATACAAGAGGTGCTTGTCGACAGGTGATATTAAGCATAAAGGGGAAAAAGGAAGAAATGGAGTAAAAGCCCAGGTTCTCACTGCTCATGTAAATCTCTGTGCAACGCACCTTTCCCTATCCAGCTCCGACATCTGATGTTGATATGACTTCCCAATATGGCGCGGATAGGGTTACACGGCTCCTAGCCCTATCCGTGAACTGAGACGGGAAGGCAGAGCCATGCCCAGCCGTCACAAGATGGCCTTAACCAAGATACAGAAAACTGTGTGTGTTGGCTATAGATTTGTGATAGGAACTGTATTGATCTTGCTTATGGTTATCTAACTCTAAAGACTTGTTAGATAATCCGGACTTCAAACGAGGCAGAGAGATCGACTGTACGATCTTACAGGTCTAAAAAGGCGCCTTAGGGCATATATCCGGCACCTAGATTTCAGCCTAATTGTGGGTTGGCTTATAAAGCCAATAAACCAACGTACGTACGTTCGTACATGCGCATCAGATGGTACTCCAAGTACTATGGTCAAATGTATTCGATTGTCTGTCCTTATCCCTAAGTACATCATGTTCCAAAGCCGCGTCTATATAGACCTTCTCCTGAGCTGTATTCCTGGTTTGCAGATAGGGCACAACCCTATCGGTGCCGTATTAGGAAATCATCTTGACATCAGATGTCGGAGATGGATAGGGCAAGGTGACTCGTGTAGAGCACACACAAAGGCTAGCTACGCAGCTAGAGCAGAGCCCCTCCTTCCTGTCCTCATGTTCAATATTTTCATCGATACGCATACCTTGTATGTAGGATAGTTGGTTTTCCAATACACAGGATTGGCACCATCACAGATAAACGGAGACAGAGAACGGAATACATACAATCTTGATAGTCACCTCTTCTTTTCCCATCCTTTGTACAATACTATTCAGGATTAGCCTGAAGTTAACCCAGCAATCCGACAATACATAGGCTTCAGTAAAGGTGAGAGAGGAAGATGAGAAGAATTAAGATATGATCTATTTGATGCGCGTACACCACCACTACCACGTGTGCTTAGACTTGATTCAGGGGTTTGGAACGGACTGCGCGGTAACGCACTCTGACCCTAACCGAAGCCTAGGATTATAGGGTGCGCATGGACGCAATTCAAAAATCACGACGGGATCCGTTCAACAATTAATCCAGCAGTCTCCGATTTTCATGTCCTAACACGAGTTTCCATGCGCCATCACTGACACGAATGTATGTTGAAATCACCAAATTAGTCGCGAATCAATTCTAGATACAAACCATAGCATCCCATTCTCTCGTTACTCAGTCTCTCCGTGCCGAATTCCACTGCATCTCCATATGCTGAAACCAACGTCCAGTGATGCGGAAATGCATCAAGTAAGGTTCCAACCAGTACACCTACTAGCCGTGGCCCAAACACTGGTTTTGCTGGGCACTCAAAGGGTCTAGATCCAAAAGCTAAAAAAGCTTCCTCTTGCTCCTTTGTCAATTTTTGCCAACGTAAAGGGTCGAATTTTCCAGCTGTTTTTCCCCAGATGCTTGTTGACAGATGGCAAGCTTCAACATCCGCGGCGATGATCTTCGGTTCAGGGAAATTGGCTTCCTTCCAGGCTCTATATATCCGTTTCGTTGGTGGATAAAGCCGAAGTACTTCCTTGATTAGATTTTTTGCAGATGCCCCGTCCGGTGAAGAGGCTCGCTTGAATTGCTCTGCGGTAGGCTTTTTAGAGTAGCTTACGAGCGCTTCCCTCCAGTTTGGATGCTCTTTACCTGCTTTGTATGCGACCTCAAGAAAGCCTCGTAAGACCACTCGCCACATGGTTTCAAAACCAGGTAATATCAAGTTTAACGGGTTCTCGCAGGGATCCGAGATATTCCCGTCTGGTAACACCTCAATAAGGGCTGATCGTAATTTATCATTCTGTTCGAATGGTATGAAGGTGTCTTCTTTCTTGGACATAATCCATGTTTCATTGATAGCCTCAGCCAGGTTACTAAGGGATTTGAAGGTGACGTCGTTGGTAGTAACCTTTTTCCTAAGGAAGAAAAAAGCTGTCAGAACAGCGTTCAGAGTTATTGACTGTACCATAGGTACGAGTTCAACTTCACGTCGAGATTCGCAAGCACCTTGCGCGTCGCTTTTCCATCGCCTGACAGTGTCTTGAGTCGCTGAAACAATAATCTCCCAGTTGTCACTTGATATGTTGATCAAATTCCTTGACATCTTAACAAATTCCTCAACGTAGGATTTATTGTCGCTTGTAAAAGCATTTTGAATTCTAAATCCTCGCTGTATCGGTTCGCTTGGGACGCTTTTGGATTCGTATTTTGTATACTGATTTCTCGCACCGTGAATTATCTCGGCCGCAATGACTGAACGGTTTTCACTCGGTGTATGGTAAATTGTCTTTAAATCAGTAGTCTCTGCCGCAAGGACTTGGCCACGTTCACGCAGTAGGATCCGGGCAAAAAAGATAAGCAGGCTAGATATGACGATACACGCAAAGGGAATAATGGCAGTTTCACCCATCCTGTGAAATTTGAAGGCTTTCGTATGAAATTGGAATCAGAAATGGTGTGAGCGCCCACACTTATATTCCACTAGGAATCTGTAACGAGATATCTAAACCTGGAAGAAAGAATATGTTGGTTCCACTGCTCTAAAGTGAAGACCAATGAAGTTATTATTACCCTCAAAATAAGTAATATTTGATTATCCTCTAAGATTGAAGGCGAGTGCCAGCGCCCCTTTTGTGTGATCCCAAGCGAGGGCCGGTGTCGGATTAGGAAATCAGATAGCGGGTACCCTTTAGGATATCAACAATACCACATTGATCAGGCTCGTCAGCTTGTGGCATCCATTCACCCATTTGCCACAATGAGTATCCGCCAATTTGCCATGGTGCTGTGAAGGTATTGAATGAACGTCAAGCTCGCTGGTTGTTACAAACTCCAACCCCTTCAGCAACTTCGAATGAGGCTACCCTTCCAGAAAATGTGCCTCAAGCACAGGAGCCGCAGCAGCTGTCAAGGCCCCGACATGCCCTAAATCCACCTGGCACAATATTCTGACGAAAATTGTGTTCAATTTCTCTCTTTCTTTGTTGAACTACAAGCCAAGCTAGCCGTCGAGGGCCTGCGATAGGAGGCGCATATGCTCAAGTATGGTATGCGCACTCACGATTTGAAGGAAAGACTAAGGATGCTATCTTCCCTGGATCCGTCAATACGGCCTTAATCGCGCTACTGTTAATGGAGAAACCCTCAATAACTTTTCAGCTATCTCAGTATCTTGTTTGATGACCCTCAGCTTGTTGAGCGAGCTAATTCAGATCTTAACCGCCTTCGACAAGGTAACACCCCATTCCCCGAGTTTCTTGTCAGCTTCAAAGGATCCTCATGCTCGCTGGCGGTCAGAACTGGACCGAAGACGTACGAATCACACGTTTGCGATCTGCTCTCAATGTCGAGATAAACCTCTCGATCCCAACCAACTTGTTACAACTGTCAACAAGTTGGCTATATAACTGGATACTACCCGAACCATCCAGCGCCACGAACTATGTTAAAATTATCGGCTCAAGTGGAAAAACTGAGACTGAGACGCGAAGTCGCTGTCAATAACGCCTTCTCAATGGCCCCTGAACCCACCGTGTTACCAGAAGGCTCACCACTATGGATACGGATTCGGAAAACGAGTAGCTCCTAGTAAAGAGCGAGATATAATTTCTTCAAATGGTTAGCCATATTGTAATTGATCTTTGGTTAAATATGGACGGTGTGAAATGCAACTTCATGTAGTCTACGTCGTAGCATGGCCTGTTGAAAGGCATCTAGTGCTTGTTATTAGACTAGCACAAGATCATGTAATTCTCCGTACGGTATCTTAGTAAGAAATTATCTGCTATAACTAAGGGGCACAGTCTCTATTATTGTAAATCCACGTTGATGATGTATTGCAATTCCGTCAGTGTAAATTGTAAAAAATATGATGACTAGTGATTCTTTTTGCAGTAACCGCACTCAAGATGGGCTATATAATTATGTTAAAACAGCTAGTTATATAGTAGCAAGATCGACAACATGCGTGTCTCCTGATATGTCTTGCAAGGAACAAGATGCCGTGGATCTCCTGAGTGAAGAATTTAGGGATCCAGGATGTTATGGGCTGACCCCATATCGGTGGTTCGGGACAGAGCCCTCACTGATGCCATCCATGAAACCATCTCCAGATCTGGCGAGTGACACTGGTTTGCCAATCCTTGGCCGCCGAAGTTACGGAAATGCCCCGGAATTACTTTGCATACTCAGACTTACAAAGGTAACCCTGGGGAAACAACACGGTTCTCTCTTCCTATATTAAGTGGTATGCACAACAGGAATTTGTATGTTTTCTCTCCTTCTTTCCCATGTACATTATCATCTTGTAGAGAAATCGGTGAATTGATCGTATAGATTCAGAGGATTGATATCATCCAGTAATAGTGACCAATGATCAGCTGCTTGCTAGTATTGATAAGGAGATGATTCGATGGGTCACAGAGGTATCAAGATCTAGAAATAGCTACATCCCCTAAGCACCCTGGTGAGCTTCAACTCAACCGACTTGACCTTGGCTGTATCATTGCAGCCCGTACTAGTCATGGAGACTTTGCGGACTACATAAACGTTTTAACCACGATGATGCTTATCTTCTCTGTCGGTGCGGAGCACGAAAAGCATCTCTGCACTTCTTCTTCTGTCATATAGCTAAGAGACGAGCCCCTCGGCCTCCTGGGCCCCCTTCTAAGGTTATCTCTTTTCTTTTAGGTACTGCGAAAGGAGCACAAAAGCTAGCCTCATGGCTAGCAGAGACCCACTTCTTTAAGGATATCTGCCCTCGCCAACCTCTCCTTAGCACCTAGCTAAGACAGCCCTACTCTTCCTTTATATTTCTTCTTTCCTTCTTTCATTCTCTTCTCTTCTTTCTTTCTCTCTTTGCAAAACTTACTATTCAGCTATGATAGTAGTGGAGTAATGGGTCATGGAGTGTAGGTGGACCATTGCAGCTGGCAAATACCTAAAGCCCACTTAGAAGTGGACCTTCCTGTAAGACCACGGCAGCTATGGAAATGCGCCAAAGAGTATATTATTTGTATATAATCTGATAGATGATTCGAAGCCCGAGGTTTACTCCTCGCGGCCTATGTCCCAGTAGGGATCGGTGGGAAGTGTGCGAGTCACGAACCACGGCCGTTAAATAGACACACACACGCGCGCGCGTACATAGTAGGGTTGATATTCACGCTCCGACACTAAACATTTCTAAATGGCTTTTATCCTCCGTCGCAGCCAATGAAACGTTCGAAATTTGCATTCAACCATCTTCCCCTAAATGACCTAGATGAGAGTAACAAGACAGAGTGGTCATTTTCGAAACCCCGTTCGCAACGAGGAACCAGGCTCGGGAGGTCTCGAAAAACTTTCTAGATGGGTAAACTAGACAACATCAGAAGAGGCTTTTGTTAGATGCGAACCATGCTAAGCTCACCTTGGAGTAAAGGGAAACGGACGTTTCCCTATAGAAGGGCCCAATGAAAGGGTAGTCATTATGGTGTTGGGGCGGATAGCCTGTTGAAGTCCTTGAGAGACAAGAATCACCGGTAGTATAAACACGGACGGGGAAGCTGGGTTGAGAGCCTTGATAATTCGCTCAGTAAGGATATCTGCAGGAAGCCAAGACAATTTGTAGGTACCTGACAATGCCAAGGCCTGACCCTCAACATCATTTTCCTTGTCCCACCATTGATAGAAGTAGCGTCTATTATTGAAGAAAAACCGTAGCCCGGGAACACAAGCGACAAGGAGGGCTATTAGAGCAATTATTGCCTCGGCTGAGAATGTCATTATTGGTTGAGATGTGCTGGAGTCCACTACAACCGTCAGGAATTAGTTCTGGGTCACATCATGAGACAATTTACATACTGCGTAAAAGGACTACTGGACGAATTATGAGCACTGCCTCACATTTGGCGCTAGTGGCTCCGCACAGTGTTTTTACTAGACAGGATTAGGGTAGCTGTAATACATGTACAAGCCATATTACAGGGTCCGAGTTTATTGCAATGCCAACCATCTAATTACTAGCATTCCTTCACAGGTGTCTTAAACAAAGCCATCAATGATGCAAGTGCCATAGTAGTGTGCAAGCTACGGATGTGGGAGTCAAAAGTGATAACAATATGGTAATCCGTTGTCTATACGCTAGTCTTTACTTGGAATATTTTCATGTTTTCTTTTTTGAAACCTAACTAGAAGGGACTAGATACGGAAATTTTTGACAAATTAGAGGTGTGTAAACTGTATCTGGCCGTAATTATTTATGATATACGGAGTACCATAGTACATTTCTAGTACCCTTTGGCGTGTAGACTAATATTTAGCGTATTATTCTCACTTTTGACTCCCACTTTCGTATACGACAATATGTTAAGAAAACATGTATGCGCCATGAAAGATACTTCTGGCAGCAAATTTTATATAATAGCACCACAACATTCTTGTATGTTTAGTAGAGGAATTGAACATAGTCTGATAACCCCCACCAGCTTTTTCTAAAAAGCCTGACATGAATTTACCTGGCTTACAAGCCCGGTCATATTAATAGACAGTAAATAATAATCAAGAGAAACTTATGGAACATCATTAATCAGAGATGCTTCGCCTGCTCATCAGGTTAGTGTAAAACATGTTAAAACAATTGAAGCAAGTAAGAGCGAGCGCAAAACATTTTTGCAAACCACTGCGCCCTCAGTAGACAGGAGTTATTTCCAGAAACTGCAGTGCACTAACTAAGAACGTGATGATGGAACCATTTTAGAAAGGGGACCCTAAAGTAGTGAGCATTATCCCAATCGGGCAAGGATTGGGTAGAAGATCACGCTAAGCTCAGTGGGCCTCGGATGATGTGCAAGGACCCACTCTTGGCTCCCACAAAACTCTTTCTCAGGTTACTGTAACAACGGATACGGTATGTTTGATGACTAAGAGTATCTAATTCTCCGTATTCATAATACAGATTTTCTCAAGTCATGTAGATCATCCTTCTGTACGGAGTATAAAGATTTAGTGCTTAGATGACATGTAGCGACATCACAGCCGAGATAGCTTCAAAATATTATCGTGTCGATTGATTTTTCATAAGATTTTGTAAGGTCTGCTTCAAATTGTCGAGGCAGAGATTTTTGAGCTGACGCATCTGCTGCAAGTTCTATATAATTTTTGATAGCTATTAGAAAATCCATATCTGTAATTTTTCTACCGAAGGAAATAAAATAAAATCCTCTCCCGCGGTCTAGAATAATGGGCTGCTGAACGCCATTATATTATTCTAATCTGGACTAAGTCTGTCGTAGCGAAGTTTCGTTTGGGTTGGAGCCTTCTTGCATCCATATTGCAGACTATAACTACGGAGCAAATATATTGTGGTAAAATTGTGGTAAGATTTAAAGCTGCCTTTATCTTTCAACACTAAATTCCGCCCGCCTCATCGTCGAGCATATTTCCGTTGGATTCCCTACGAAAGTTATATTTTGTTTGTAGAACACACTTCGAAGGCCTTGCAAAAAGATCTCGCAACTTAGAGTTCTTACACTACTGCGATGAACAACGATGTTTCAGGGTCATCGTAAGTCGTCTGGCTATTGAATATTCTCCTAGCATACCATAGCCTCCAAGTGCCCAGCGATGAGCCGTTCAAATTAAAACCTTCACCTGGAAAAGGATGGGGTGCTTTTGCTACCAGACGAATAGAGCGAGGATCGATAATCTTCACTGAGAAGCCCCTCTTTGTCATCCGGAAGCCACATACAGAGATCACGGAGGGATATGTTTGGGCAGCGTTTCAACAGTTGAGTCCGAGTGAGAAAGAGCAGTTCCTCTGCCTCCGCGACAATGGCTCTCGGTCATTCACATATATGGAGGAAGCTTTCGCCGAGAACTCCTTTGCAATCTCAAGGGATAATTCGCTTCGGTCTCAAGGCACTTCAATACACGGTCTATTCCTTCTTCACTCTCGCTTCAATCATTCGTGTATACCTAATTCAAAGATCCCGAACACCGATCAAGAGATTATCACGAGTTTTGCGACCCAGGATATTGCCGCTGGTCACGAGATCACGTTTTGCTATAATACAGATTTCGAATGTCGTCTTAGACATGAGCGCCATCAAGCTCTACGTTTCGTATGCGATTGCAAAGCCTGCCTCATCGACACCCAGTTTCAACAACTCAGCGACATGCGGCGGACACTTATTCGGGGCTTGCAGTATCTTACCCTTGGTGTAGATCTGAACGGGCAGAAACAACAAATGGTATCTCCTATCATCTTCGATCCTTATCTGAAGAAAGCGGCCGAGACTTTTCAAATTCCCCTCTCTGCTAGGTTAATCTATAACCTCTTCATAATCGTTTTACTAGAGGAGGAGGGTTTGCCTAAGAATAACTTTATCTCTGAGGCTTTGTTGCAGGCTTTATTGGGAGACTCTGAGAGGATTTTGTGTGAGGAGCTTTGCTCTATGCGATTCACAACCTAAGAATAGCTTCTTCTTCTGAGGATTTGTTGCAGGCTTTGTTGGAAGACTCTGAGAGGATTTTGGAGACATGCTCAAGCATAAATACGGGCCTGCTCCCTGTAGATAGTTTCTAGTTCCCAGCTCACCTCTTGTTAGTTTTCTATGTCATAGTGTGAATGTCAAATTTGCTCTATTCAGTTCTGAACTCCACCAAACATTTCCTATCTCCTATTTTTAACAATACATATTGTGAACGGCTATCTCGTTATGCCGCGAAAACTCCCACTTCGCAGGCAAAAAGCATCACATGCCGAAGCTCAAGACGCTTATCCGGGCCAAGAACTCCTGGATGCTTTGGCAAGGTATTTTTCACAGGTCTGACATTGTGGTCGTATGTTAACACCTTGTAGGTTGCAGACCAACTCAAAATACAGCGATCTGACTATATTGTGTGGTCAGGAGTCTTACGCGGTTCATCGATCTATTGTCTGTACACGGTCTGACTTTTTTGCAAAAGCTTGCGATGGAAAATTCCAAGTAGGCCTTCATACACCCATCAAGTTTTTCTCCACGAGCTAATTACATCACAGGAAGCGTTGAGCGGGGAGGTGAGGCTGGATGAAGAGCCTGCCTTAGTGAAGCAGGTGATCGAATATCTCTACACCTTGGACTACCAGGTCGAAACCCATGTCGTCACATCTAATCGCGGGAAAACTGAGAAAAACGCACCGAATCCAGTTGAAGAAGGCGCGAACTCGTTTAATGTACCGAACAGCCACAGCATAGCCCAAAATGAACACGATGTTGATGCGGCTGAGGGAACAGCGCCGCTTTTGGATCCTCTCTCGTTCCATATCTTGATATACTCCCTTGCTGATCGCCTTTTGATTCAGGGCCTGAAAATCCTTTCTGGCCAAAAACTTAAAAGCGCGCTAATTCAACGTTTGGACGCAGGATCATTCCCATCGGTGATTGTTGAAATATACAATACCACTCCTGAACAGGACCGAGGACTACGTGACATAGCTGTACAAATCACAATGGAGTATTTTTCCACACTGCGGAGTGCCAGTAAAACCGGGGTTGCCGCCTTCCAAGACGCACTTTTACAGTCTGTCCCGCAGTTCTCATACGACTTACTTATTGCAATGATGAAGAAATACGTACCCGTTTTGGAGGGTGGTTCGGTCTGAGGAGTTTCAAGGCATTATAGAAAAGTCTAAACGAAAATGAGAATGAGGACTTACAACCACTATTAAATCCAAAGGTTGACATATATAGATATTCTTTCTTTTTCCTCTCCATACTTAGTTTCCTAGATTACTTCTTCCAATATGATTGATGCTTGAGCCTTCACAGGTGGTCCCATGATCTTACGAAGGTGTTGGGACCATGAGAAAGTCACAGCACAATGGGGAGACATATAGTTTGGTATATAGTGGTAGTAGGAGGCCTCCATGTCAGGTAAATTCAGCCTTGTGGCACATCCTTTCATAATAGCCTTGCATCATAAACAATTGGCTCCAATGTCTTTATTTTTATTTTTATTTTTATTTTGAATGCTGTTTCTGAATGATTTCAAAGGAAAAATGGTAGGTCGCCATTGGCTGTAAGCAGAGCTGTATTTTGACGGCATGTCCCGGTCAAACAATGAGCTCCTTAGTATAAGAGAGCATACAAACACCGTAGAAGACTTCTTCCTTTTTTTTCTTTTTGAGATGAGACTTCCTCATATTCATCTTTGTTATCATTTAACTATCTTAGAACAATCCTTGATTTTGTCGTTTCCTGAAAGACTTATCGAGCCTCAATCCACCAACAAGCTGGGCTTCTAAAAGATAGATTCTTCTTTACAAAATACTCGATACGTGAGATACTTGTGAGAATAGATCGCTGATACGTTTGACTGGTGCTTTTCTTACATAAAGTTGTCAACATGGAACCTCAAGAGTTCGTTCTCAATTATCCCCATTTTTTCAAGCCCATCCCGCTAATTTTGACAGAATATGTCGTTATTTTGCGAGAAACGGTACATGCAAATACAAAAACTGCAAGTTTCAGCACATAGCAAATGGAGAGAAACCCTCTCGTACCCAGGGAAAACCTTCATGGCCGTCCGGCAGCTTGTCTAACTCGGAGAGAGAGTTTCGATCTTGGAAGCATAGTATTCCCCTCAACAGCGAAACCGTATTGTCTAGCGGCAAGCTTGCTTTGGTATTTCAAAAAGCGCATCAACTTATTGAGATTGATGTTAGTGTTCGTCAAGCAGTCATTCAGAAGCTCTCTGAGGACGGTGGTCTTGGTTGTATCAAGATGCTGGTCGAACAGAACTTTGAACAACTTCCTACAAGCACGAAGGAACACTTATTCCAAACTCTATTTCTTCCCCTCCTGAAAACTATCTCCCATCCCGACGTGTTACAATCGTTGATACTCGAACGGCCGGTCGGAACCATTTACAATTTTTTGTTTGGAGTAGGAGGAATCAGAGCCTCAAAGCTTCTGACCTTCTGTTCCGAAGTTCTCATGCATTGTACAAAAGATGAGTCTACCTTGGAGTGGTTAGATGCTTCTGTTTTGGTGTTCTCGCGAATTGTGGATCTCAATTCCACAGCCCTTGTTCAGGTATCTCTCAAGAATTGTGCGAGTCAGTTCCAATTGATATTCACCACTTGGGTCACCGATCATCCTGAGCATCCTTTGAACGAGTCACGAGTGCATTTAGAGCGCTTACTCCGCCGCTTTGAGGTGGGTGTCTCACTGCCAAACATGGCTCAAAACAATGTATCTCAAGGGCCAAAAGTGCGAGGCTCTTTCGTCATTGCATACGACCCCCCCGGTGGCCGCCATGACAATGACCACACAGACATCTGCCAGATTCGCATTATGCCAACCTTTCAAGAGATTTCCAGTCGCCGTCACGAGTATCTTCCACCGTTCGACCCAACACAATGGCATGTCAATGGCTTTCACGGACTTCTGGATCGCAACTTCCGTTTGCTGCGCGAAGATACCGTCGGCCTGCTCCGAGATGCTATCCACTCCGAGATTCAGCCATCACGAAGCGTCCTGAATCACAAAAGCCAACAACGTACTAATGTATATCAGAGTGGTAGGATCGTGCAGCTCGGTTTTCATTGGAAGGATGGATTTCAGTTCAAGCTGGGCTTTTCTCAGCCGACTCATGTCGGTAAAATGACGGCCCCGAGACGCGAGGAATGGTGGAACATGTCCAAACGTCTGCAATCTGGGGCTTTGGTCTGCCTCATCTTGCAGAGAAACTCTGTGGTTTTCTGTACTGTCATCAACCCGCAAGCTACGGCGCATAAGCGACAAGGACAGAATGATAACAAATCTCAGCACAAGGATTCGGATTTTTTATGGAAAGATTCTCAAGAAGCCGCCGTCTTTCTGCAATTGACCAGCTTGAACGACAGAAGTATTGAAATGGTTCTGAACAACTACACCACAAAAGACTCGCACATCGCTCTTGTGGAATTTCCAGGTGTTCTTCTACCAGCGTTTGAACCAACACTGAAAGCACTTCAGTTGATGAAAAGAATTGATAATCTTCCGTTTTCTGAACTGCTGATCCCCAACAGCACTCATGCCGGATCTCCAACCTATGCCGCCCCTCTCTACGCAGCCGAACCTGGGTTTCAGTTCAATCTGCGATGCCTGATGAATGATAACAGTGACTTTTTCGTTCGTGTCGGCCATCCTACCGATTTGCAAAAGCTGCGTCAGAATTCGAGTTTGGATGGTGCACAAGCATCTGCCCTTATCCACACGCTGCAACGAAAGATCGGTCTGATTCAGGGTCCACCTGGAACCGGCAAAAGCTACACAGGCGTTGCTCTCATCAAGGTTCTATTGGCCAACAAGGGACGTGGAAAGAAAAGCCTAGGTCCAATTATTTGCGTTACCTATACAAACCATGCGCTCGATCAGTTGTTGGAGTCTCTTTTGCAAAAGGATGTCACAAAACAGATCGTTCGCATGGGGGGACAGTCGAAGTCCGAAAGCCTGAAACCCTACAATCTCCACGAGCTTGCCAGGAACTTCAGTAAAACAAAGATGGAAAAGGGCAGTCTGTGGATTTGTCATAATTCCTTAGAGAGATGCGAGAAGGAGTTCGACCAAATTGGTCTTCGAGATGATATCTCGCCGACGCGTGTGATGACCCATTTACGCGACAGCTACCCTGCACATTACAATCAGCTGTTCGGAATTGACGAAGATGGTTTCCAGCATGCACATAAAGATAATCCTGGAAAAGCGTTCGATCAATGGCGGAAGTCAGGTGGGAAAGCCTCCACGGGGCACATTCGACGTGTCGCACAGCTTGAATCGGTCTCTCTCTGGCAAATGTCACAGCCTGAGCGAGAGAGTCTCTACAAACATTGGCAGGCACAAATTCAAGACGAGATGCATCAGGAGTTGATCAACATATGCATTTCTCATAAAGACACTAGACGTGAGTTCGACAATATCCTGAGCGAAGTAGATCTGCGTTGCCTCAGTCAAGCCGATGTCATTGGTGTCACGACGACTGGATTAGCCAGAAATCTCAATATGCTTCGAAGATTAAAATCAAAAGTTGTACTATGTGAAGAAGCAGGTGAGGTACTCGAGCCGCATCTTCTTACTGCTTTACTCCCATCAGTCGAGCATGCCATCCTTATTGGCGACCATTATCAGCTCCGTCCGCAGGTTCAGAATTATGAGCTCTCTCGCGAGAATAAGAATGGTGGAGAGAAATACTCATTGGATGTATCGCTTTTTGAACGTCTTGTTGAAATAGACAGTGCCATGGGCTGCGGTCTGCCTTACAGTACGTTGCAGACCCAACGACGGATGCATCCGTCAATTGCTCAGCTTGTGCGTGAGACATTGTACCCGCAGCTTCAGGATGCTCCCTCGGTATCTGACTATCCTCAAGTCAGGGGAATTCGGAAGATATTGTTTTGGTTGGATCACCGCGAACTAGAGGGCAACCTATCAAATGCGGAGGCATCAGCGACGTCGCGATGGAACGATTACGAAGTTGAAATGACTACTGCCCTAGTCAACCACCTGGTTTGCCAGGGACAGTATGGCAGTGGCGAAATAGCCGTCTTGACACCCTACCTGGGTCAGCTGCAAAAATTGAGGCGGAGACTGGGCAGGTCATTTGCAATCACTTTAGGAGATCGGGACCAAGATGATCTCGACAAGGCTGGTCTCCAAGAAGATGAGGAGCTGGCCCCAACTCCCATCGCAGTAAAAGGAACACTTCTTCAAAGCCTGCGGGTAGCCACAATCGATAACTTCCAGGGAGAGGAGGCGAGTGTGGTGGTAATTTCACTGGTGCGCAGTAATCCGCAAAACAAATGTGGTTTCCTCCGTACTTCCAACCGAATCAACGTTCTTCTTTCTCGAGCAAAGCATGGCATGTACATAATCGGAAACTCGATAACCGCAATGCATGTCCTGATGTGGGCTGATGTCATCAATATCTTCCAGCGCAACGAGAATATTGGCACAAGCTTGGAGTTGCAATGCCCACGCCATCCTGAAACTCTAATCACTGTATCAAAACCGGATGATTTTCCATGGGTCTCACCAGAAGGTGGATGTGATCTGCGTTGCATTAAACGTTTGTCGTGTGGACATGCATGCATTCAGAAATGTCATTTGGAGATCCTCCACAATGCTGTTCAATGCCTAGAAACTTGTCAGCGACCACGAGAGGGTTGCTCTCATCCTTGTCCGAAGAAATGTGGTGAAAAGTGTCCTTCCAAATGTACAGAAATTGTCTTTCAGGCGGATAGGCAGCTTAGTTGTGGTCATTTGGCGCAAAGGCTTCCCTGCTGGCAGAGCCAGGATTTGTCGGCCGTACGTTGCTCTGTGCTTGTCGAGAAGACGGTTCCAAGTTGCAACCACAAAGTTCGAGTTGCATGTCACGTTGATGTCAGTTTGCTTCAATACAGGTGTACTATGCAATGCGGGAGTGTATTGGCATGCGGCCATTCGTGCAAAAACCAATGTTTCAAGTGCTTCACAAGAACTGAGTCAGGGGATGTCAGCACGGATCATGGAGTTTGTCGATAGAAATGTGGCCAAAATCAGAATACGTGCGCTCACAGATGCGACACCCCTTGCCATGGTGAACAGCAATGCCCACCATGCCAGTCACCCTGCGAAGTTGACTGCGGACATTCCAAATGCGCGCGAAAGTGTTCGGAGCCGTGCACACCCTGCGCCGAAGAGAAATGTCTTTCTTCATGTCCGCACAGTACTTGTTCGATGCCTTGTGCTGCCCCCTGTGATCACGTCCCATGTTCACTGAGATGCGACCAGTTGCTGGCATGTGGACATCAATGCCCATCAGTTTGCGGAGAGATTTGCCCGCCTGAAAAATATTGTCAAATCTGCGGCAGTGAAGAGATCAAGGATTACCCTGTCGACTTCATTTTAGGAGAATCATACAAAGACATCGACCTTGACGATAACCCGTGTATATTCCCCAAATGTGGGCATTTCCTCACGACAGAAACCTTGGACGGACTGATGGATATCGGCAAGTACTACGTGCTTGACGAACGTAGGAAACCGAGTAAAATTTCCACTTCGTCAGAGCCGTTCTCCATCAGCGATATCAAAACCTGTGCTACTTGTCGTGGACCGCTGAGGAATATTGCCAGATACGGACGCTTGGTACGTCGGGCTATTTTGGATGAGTCTACGAAAAAACTGATCTTATATCTGAACCGCGAGTACGTTCCTCTCGCGCAGGAGCTTCCGCAGCGGAAACAACAGTTGCAGGATACCAAAAACGAAAGGTCCACTTCCTGGCCTAAAACCATTAGAATCAGAGATGAACGAAATGCACTAGTTCGGCACATGCGACTTATCATCTCTCCCCAAAAAAACGGGAGGTGGAAAGAGATTCTGGACCTGCGGCAGCGCATCTCCACGTACCAGAAACGAGTCTCCCCAGAGGAGCAACCGTTCATCAGAGTTCATCAACTAGCCACAAATGCACGCCGCTGGCAGAATACTATTAATACTTCTGATGATTTTGGAGATGTCAGTGAGGTCCTGCAAACTAAGGGTTTCCTCCAAGGAACGGCATTGAGCCTTCGACTGGATATTGAATTGCTAGCGGACTTTCTGGAGATGCGTCGTAATGCTCTTAAAGCTGGTGAAATCAAAGTTGATATGGATCTGTCAGCTATGAGAACCGAATGTGAAACATTGATCAAGAGTGCTTCTGAGTCAAAGCGTCCTCTCTATAAGGCGGAGGGCTACATATTCCTTGCTCAACTCCACGCCTTTGAGCGATCACACAGTTCATCGCCCGAGATGGCAGAACGACATTTAATAGAAGGGAAAGAAGCGATCAATGAAGCCAAGACACTTTGCAACGAAAATCCTGGTCAAACCCAGGGTCTAGCAACCGATATTGAAGGCGCAGAGAAGATGCTTCGCGGCACGACTTTTTACACAGCAGTAACCAATGAAGAGCGCATGGCTGTTATCGCGGCCATGGCTCGCGAGTTTAGTGGTACGGGCCATTGGTATTATTGTCGCAATGGGCATCCGTTCACCATTGGGGAATGCGGTATGGCGATGCAGAGGGCTGTGTGTCCTGAATGCGGAGAGCCAGTTGGAGGGCAGAATCATCAAGCTGTAGAGGGGGTCACACATGCTAGAGATCTGGAAGTTACGTTTGCGCAGATGGGTTTGCATTGACTGTGACTGTCAATATACCTTATGGAAGATGCATATTGATCGAGTGGCTATGTATGGTATGAGGGGCTTGTTTCGGATTGGATGTACTTACTGTGTCAATTTTCTTCTCATCAGATTGCATTATTGAATAAACTCGCGAAGTCAGTACCAATTATCCTGATAGGAATGAAATAAGTGAATATTGATCTCGGATTCATCGCTTGATGCATACGATGATGATGTAGTAGTTGTAGTAACTTGTTGGAAGCCTGATGTTAGATATCATTAGTGGAATCCGCTGAGAAGCCCAATTCGCCAACTGGGTTGCCAATCAGCAAGAAACACGAATTCAAGCGAGGGGTTTGGATTCTTCATTATAGAGGACAATTCCCAATGTCAGAAACCAGAGGGGTTCAATCGATCAAGCATTAATACACATACAATTTTGTTAACAAGCCTGTGTCATAAGCTCCTACACTATATGTACGGATTCCAACAGTTAAAGGCCTGAATTATTATCATTGAAAAACGGTTATATCATTCGACAATTCAATATTCGACAAAATTTCTGTAAGAAACGCCAACAACGCTGCTACCGAGCAATTCCTCTCCGTCCCAAACGACTGGAAGAAATGGGAGAAGGTCTTTCAAGCAAAAATGGAGTAAAAGGATCTTCTCGAGTATCTAAAGGGGAAGAAAGACCTCATGCAGAAGCTCGAGATGCCAGAAAACGCACCTATTTTCCCAACGTTAGAGAATCTCCGAGCAAGGAACGGTAGGCAAAGAAACGAGCAATCTTCGCAAACTGAGGATGGGCCAACCACTCAGCAAATACCAACAATCGCTACAGCGGCTGAGAGAGCAGCGCTCAAAACATGGAAAGAGGAGTATAAGGAAGAATCAGCACACTTCAACCTGGAACTTGGGCTTCGCCGTACCAAGATGACTCTCTACGAAACGGAATGAAAGCATCTCGACGAAGTGGCTGCTTGGATGCAGTCAACCGTTCGCAATGACCTCAAAGAAACGTGTCTCAGTGAAGGAATTGACGTTCGAACCAGATATGAGAATTTGAAAAAGTTCTTTGGTCGTACGGCAATGACTATTGCCCGCGAATTAGGGGACAAAAAAGCATATGAAGCCATTCCAACAGTGGCCTAAGGATACGAACACTTGGGTATCTGGATGGCTAACGCTCATGCAAAAGAGAAACCAACACAATCTATCATCCGATACAGATCCCATAAACAGGACCAAGGATTTCTGAAGCCTTTTATAAAATCGACGCCTCTTGGGTGACTACTATTCGAACAATGTACAGCGGAAAAATTGAAGATAAAACAGTCACCTATCTTGATTTCTCACGACAGCTTCAAGAGCTCTCTCGGCCCAAGAGTCCAACAATATCTCGAGGAGATTTCCAACGGGGAGCCTTGAATCAATTGCATCCAAGCTATTATATTCACCAACTATGCTATATAGCTTCTTCTATTTGGCTTAATTCTATTACCTGCTATCCTGATATCCAATGGAAACCCGGGGCAAACGTCAAACCTACATCGCATTAAACGATGGTTATAATAACGAAGCTTTAACCGAAGACCAGCTTTCAAACCCACCCCCTAAATTGCCGATTCTATCTACATTTCCACAACCAGTACAATACATTTTTTGGCATCCCTGATGTCGAGATCAACCCTTCAGAATCTGTATCACAGTCTTAGACTATCCTATCCAACAACCTCAACAGCTGCAGATTCTTGGATTATATACTAGAAAGGAAGCATGGTTCTGGGCTTACTTCAGCAAGCATGAGGCTCCACGTGAGTGATATACAAAGAAGCACAAGAAATGGAAGTTAACCAATATGGATATCCAATGTGCTATTGTGGATAAAGAAACTGGCAAGCAATGTAGCTGGGTTACGACAGATTCAAAGTGGCAGAGTTCTACTAGTATTACTGTATGACGCTCCATCTCTTACGGAAGCATTCTATTTACGTATCCTCCAGCTGCCTCAACCACCGAACCTGTCAAAAGGCAACTCTGTCTAGCTTATGGACAAAAAAGAAGAAATCTTACCTGCCAGCAGCAACTGGGAAAGGACATCCTTCGCTGGGTTATCATTGATAAACAACCCTTTACACCAATTGAATCTCCAGCATTTCAGCAGGTCTTTTCTAATATCCCACGAATCGCACTCCCATTTACTTCTCGGCATATTCTCCGACAGCGGCTTATGGATGGCTTTGATCTACAACGTGCTCAATTGAAGAACGAACTTAGATTATCTTGAAAAACAATTGCCTTAACTCTTAATATCTAGACAAGCAAAAAGCACCTTCCAACCCTAGGGATCATTGGCCGTTGGCTTACAGAGCATTTTGAATACCGAGAAAAAGTTCTTGAATTCAAAGAACTTTTAGGGCCACATAGTGAAGAGAATCTAGCTACAGCAATTGAGGATATGCTCCTTGAACTTGACCTTCAATCCAAGTTGATTACAATAACAGGAGACAATGCTAGTAATAACGAGAAGATGGTTTTGCTTTTATCTCAAAACCTGAAGCAAAAACTTGGGGTTCATCCTCTATTCCGTGGCTCAGAAAGTTACGTCCGCTGCTTAGCTCATATATTAATCTCACTGTCAAAGATATCCTTGAGGCTTTAAAATCTGGCAACATGGAGGAAGCTTATATTGTGTGTGATCATTTCAAGGAGGGAGAACAGTTGTCTATTAGGTCTCAAGAAGCTTTAGCAAGGATTCGTATCCTAGCCCTTTGGATATACCGAAGTCCTCAACAAACTGTAAGATTATCAATCTCTCAAGCAATTACATTAAATATGTTAATACACGATAGAATTATTTGATGCCTTAAAGGCCAGATGCCAGGTCGATAAGTTTCTGCAGCTCCAGACGGATTTTCCTTGCTCTACTACAATGGACAGGTCTCGGCTCTCTCAGATCCGCGATATCCTTTCGAAATTCAACGATTTAACTCTTTTCGTGTCGGAAAGAAAACTCAAATCAGCCTCGCGTCCCAATCTACTACGAACTCCATGATTTACTCGATGAGGCATCCGAGCGCAAGGAGAGGTTTCTCGATCTTGACGAAGATATATCATTGGCTGTGAAGGAAGGTATGAAAAAGTATAAAAAGTACTATACCTTTATGAATGCTTCTGATACATACTACACTGCCATCGTCTTGGATCCTAGGATTAAAGGTGATCTTTTTCTCGACGAACTAGAAGATGAGACTACTAGGAAGGAGATCCTTCAAGCTCTCTGTGACAACCTCCACTGTGATTACCCAGTTCCCAATATAGAATCAAGCTCACCTACAGGGTGGTGTCTATTGGATCGCACCACTGAACACAATGATGTAGAGTCCCGGTTACTAAACAGGTCACAGCCACGCAATCAACCTCTGCTTTCTGACATTGATCTCTATCTCAACAACCCCCTGGTCAATATAAATGAGATGAGGGATTCGAATTGGCTATGTAATTGATGACGGATAAAACGGTGGTGAATATCCCAGGATAGCTGCTGCTGCTAAAAATTATCTAGCTATTCCAGCCTCTGAGGTTCGGTCGAGAGACTATTCGATGCAGGAAGAGACATACTGGGCATTCGAAGACACTCAATGAATTCGGAAAGAGTGAGAATGTTGATGTTGGTGGATACTGTATACAGGGCTCAGAGCCGTGTAACCCTATCCGGCCGTATTGAAAAGTCATATCAACATCAGATGTCGGAGCTGGATAGGGGAAGGCGCCTCGCACAGAGATTTATGTAAGAAGCGAGGGCCAGAGCTTTTGCTTCATTTCTTTCTTTTTTCCCCTTATGCTTAATATTACCTGTCCGCAGGCACCTCTTGTACGAGATAGCTAGGATAGCGTACTCAAATCAAGCAGATTGGCAACGTCACGGTTAGACCGTTTCAGAACCATTACAGTACAAATGAATATAAAGATGGCCCCGTATTCATATTCATTAAATTTATGAATAGTCATGGATATTTATAAAGGACGTGGGAGGCGGCTAAATCTTAAATTCACTCCTAAGATCATATGTGAAATGGTTACCGGGAAGATATGCTATACTTTGCCACGCTTAAGAGATATCTCTTCATCATAAAGGTGTGAGTAGTTGACAGGAGATCGACCTAGTCGGTGTGGGTTGTCATAGATATCATACCTAGGTAATGATATGCTTATATTCAATGTTGCCAAACATGAGAGCAACTCAACTCTCGTACAAGCATGAATATGGAGAAGGAGGTTTCTTGTTACTACTGTAGGATTATTTCCTCTCAAACTTCAGTCTCTGTATGTCAGCAACAGTACCTTCTTAATGACCGTTCTGCTATATTAGTAATTCCTCCTGCGCAACGATCGGATTAACCTCCCATTACATGAAGATTGGGATTAATAAACAGAAGCACACCAAATAACAAAGATAACCACTTCGCCCACAAAAATTTTAGGCGTAGTACTAATCACAGATTATAGATTGACTAGTAAGAAATGTAATACAGTAAGCTCGTTGGCGATTAAGATCACATCTTGGATTTTCTTCCAAAATCAACGCTTCGCGTCCGTATCTTTATGTAATTAATCCCTTACGTTAGGCATAATATATATACCTAGGTAGCAGTGCTTGGCCTAGTGGTGAACGCAATTTTCTCAGTACGCTCCAGCCAAAACCCCAAACACAATGGATCATCTGTTATATTATGGCTTTTCTCTTGTGATGGCGGTTTATAGTCTGTGGCGTATCCTGTGGATCGTTCGCTGGGAGTGGAGTTTGAGCCATTTCAAAGGCCCTCGCCTGGCAGCGTGGTCTCACATTTTTTGGATGGTACCTGTATCTATTTCCGGTTGTATGACCGACCACTTCATGGAGGTCAACCGCAAATTTGGTGTGTTCAGATAGGGAAAGAAAAAGGAACCAAGCTAAGCATCACACAGGTTCTACAGCACGGATTGGACCGCATCAGCTTTTGACGGACGACCTAGAAGTTATATCCTTCGTTAATGCAGCAGGCTCGCAATATGGTAGATCAAAATGGTATCTTCCAATGACACTCGGTGGAAAGAATATAATGAATTTGTTGGATCGACGATGCCATCATGAAGCAAGGCGTACTTCTAAGTCTGGCGTGAGCAACGGTGCTCTGACTGAAATATCAAGCCATGGACTAATTATTGTTGATAGTATTCCTGCTGTATGGACAGCCTGGATGAGTGCATTGATAGGTTGGTGCAGGTCATCGATGCAAAGATTGGGGAGAAGTTTGCAGTGATAGACTTCGCGGAACTTGCCACATTCTTCACACTGGATGTTATTACGGAGCGTGGTTATGGAAAAACATTCGGCTACCTCAGTAGCCAGACAGATCTGTACCACTATATCAAAGTCATTGAAAACTCAGTGGCCTTTATGACCTTAGCTTCAAACTGGCCAAGACTTCGTAGTCTCGTATCCAAATCATTGGAGTGGCCTATAGCGCGCACATTCATATACAAGCTATGCGGACTGGAGGAGCTCGTTAGGTAACAATCATCTCTTTAAATTTTGTCCACGCGGCTAACACCAATTTGCAAAGGGCTGTGGACCAGCAGGTGGAAAATGAGTTTTCCGATCTTCCTTCACAGAATACCGTGAGAAGTCCAGAAAAAGCCACTATGCTTCAGCTTTTTAAAGAAAAAGGTATGACGAAGGAGCAAGCCAAAGTTGAAGCTCTATTCCTACTGACGGCTGGTTCTCATTCAACGGCCACGGCTATCCGAATGATCATGCTTCATGTGATTACATCTCCACATATTATGGGCCGACTAAGACAAGAGCTGCATAAGAATAGCGAAGGATGTGAATACCTCAATGCCTGTGTTAAGGAAGGACTAAGAATATTCCCGCCATTCCCTGGTCTGCTGATGAAAGAAAGGATATCGAAAACGAAAGCCAGTAACAGCGATAAACGCGATGTGGACAGCAAGGTTCAGGATGTAAACAGTAATATTCGGAATCTACCTTTAGGCGTCGAGATTGGTTATAATATAGTGGGGGTTCAGCGCAATCCAAAAATATTTGAAAACCCTGAAGTCTTTGATCCTGATCGTTGGCTGATCAGCGACCCTGGCAAACACCATGAGATGGATGCGGCACTAAACCTTGTCTTTGGCCAGCGAGGATCCTGGGGTTGCCTTGGGCAAAAAATGGCTTTTCAGGAGATAAGTCAAGTCTTGCTCGAGGTAATGTTTGACCTGTGTAAATTTATGAATTGTATGCTGACCCGCGATCTTGCAGCTATTCAAACGCTTTGATTTTGAGATTGTAAATCGTCTATCACCACTTACCAATAAGGTCTACAATCTACCCTTACAGAGAAAATTGTACCTGAGGGTGTCGCGATTTGAAACCCAACAATAGATAGGAAGTAGGTGATGATGATGATGATGATGATTTATTACGCTCAGAGGGACTAACCCTACCTATAGGGCACTAGTGCGCTAGATATATACGATTCATGTGTGTTCGACCTCTCCTCCTACAAGCAAGCCCTTACTTTTCCTGCTTCAATATGTTTATCTTAGTATCTGAGGTTAAGGCCTCCAGCAGTTGGGCGGCATTACATGATTTACAAGAATTACAAAGTAATTTACTGTAATTTACAATATTGTATAAAACTAGAGTGAAGTAGTTAATTGATAAAAGTTTACTAATATTTGTGATATACATTTAGCTACATTAACCAAATCCCCTACTAAAATTTGAACATGAGATAAATAATAAGTGTTTAGATATAGAGTTATAAGTTATCTCCATTTTGTATGTGTATTATGTGTAGCCATAGCGTTCAGGATGCCGAATCTGCCGCCCCCAACGATTTGTAGCAATAACCTCCTGAATAACCTCTTTTTTGGCCTCGCTATTGCTTTCCGGCTTGGATCGCCCACAATTTGAGTCCCTTTGTTGGCACTGCTGTCGGTTTAGCACACCTGTCGGCCCTATCAACCGCAAGCCTACCCTACGTACTATCTCAAGCCAATACTTGTCAGGCTTAACCTCTTCGTCTTCACAGTGTTTCAGTTTCAGTTGCCATATCTCATTCACTGTTTTTCTATCTTCTTCTGATAGCATGGTAACAAGCTGAGGCCATATCTGAACAAGGATCTTGACCTGACGGGGTGCTTTAATACTCAAAATAAGCTCAAGAGCACTTTTCTTGTCTTTACCCTTGGTTTTTATCAGCTCACCATGTTTTGGTTCTTTCCTACTTCCAGCTATCTCCCTTGGATTCTTCATATAATATTGGTCTAAACATAAGATAGAATCCAAAATTCTAGTATCTCCCTGAAAATAGTTGTCTTTGGCCGATAGGAAACAATAGAGGGCATTATGACCACGATTATCTGTAGCGTATATATTGCTTCCTCTGCTATGAAGGAGTTCCAAATATGGAACTTGAAGAGACATTTTTATGACGATGTGTTCCGCCGTCTCACCATATTTATTGGTACGGTTAATAAAGTCTTTATATTTCTCCTCTCTTTGTGCAATATCGAGGATAATCATTGCCATGAAATGACGAGACGCGTTAAACTGAAATTGTAACAAGCTATGCAATATTGTATTCTCGTGCTTAGGATCCTTCCATCCGAGTATCGTCGCCCAATATTGATCTATGCAGGATTGAAACAATTCTAAATTGCTCGTTTCGATAGCATGCTTAACTTCCTTAAAAGTATCCTCTTCTCTAAAAGTAACCTTTGTTAATGACCCGCGGTTAAGAATAAATTTTAACATCTTCGTGGTTGGCCAATATCCGTCTTCGGGTTCATCGAGAAATTTTACGCAACCTTGAATAGTCTCAATCAACCCCGAAAGTCCTTTATTCCTGGCAAGTTCAAGTGCGGATTTTCCTTCGCGGCTAATGAATGTTGCAGACTGTACGACTCGAGCTGCATGGCCAAAGGATTTGTTTTTGTCTTTAAGTAGTTCGTCTATAAACTGCTTCTTGTCCTCGTCAAAATACTCAATTGCTAGATAAAGAGCTGTCTTGCCCTGAAAGTTAGGAGGGTCGTCATCACTGGGGCCTAAAACTTTAGCAAAGTTGATATCCCCACTTCGCGCTGCAAAGTGAAGAGCATTATTTCCGTGTTCGGACCAGTTATGTGTATATTGAGCAAGATTACCGGGACCAGAACCTAATAATGACAAGTCGTTGTAATCTATTTGAAACATGTAGGATCTTAAATCCTCTGTCCATTCTATTACTCCTTCGGACATCAGCTTTGTACCCAGCGTATAGCCTTTCTTATCCCTCCATAATCCTGGCAGAGTGTAGGAATCTTGCACCACTTCTGGGATCTCCTTTTCATTACATCGCTGTGCGACATCGGTGATTAATTTCGGTAGATGAAGGGATGGAGCTACTATTTGGGCATCATTTGCATACAGTTCCTCGGCGACTTTGATGACTTGTTTTAATCCGATGTGGTCCTGAGATTGAGGAGACATGATGTATTAGTTATGCTGTAGTCTTGCAGATTATCAGATTTATAGCTGAAAAAAGGACATATGTACTTCGTAATCTAGAGTTATAAATAAGGCAGGCTTGCTTAGTCTCCAACTAGTGAAGCGGGTCTGCTAAGTTAGATCTTTTACGATGTTTACGTGATTAGAAAGTAAAGCGCCGCTAAAAATGTCAAAAGAGGAGTCATAATACCAATCTCGGATATAGCTGCTCGATTAGTGATAACTGCGTATCATAGCTATGTTACTATGTTAAGCACCAGAGAGCTCTATAATAAAGAAATGGGCACTCGCAATAATATTCAGTCGCCCAATCAAAAGCATGGAGTAGCCATTTACTGAGCTCGTGTCCTCCATCTGCCAATTCGTCTAGGCGTGCCATCAATATGATGATACGGCCAGGCAGGGGGTTATTTTCAATCTAGCCTCAAGCGCACGAACGTTTTCTGGCAGGAACAAACAAAACCTGTTCTTTTTGAAATCGACTATATAAGACTCGCTATCACCTTCCATGAAATTACAAACTCGTACATACGTCGCGTAATTTTACGTGCCGAGATACTGTATCGTACGAAGGCAGCTTACATATTACGTACCTGGTTGACCAGTGTTTGTCGGAACTACGACAGGTGACTCATTAAAGTTTCCAGACTAAGGCCTTGGCAGTGGGGCGAAAAGAGTATTCATATGTTTATTGGTCAACCCGATTTCGAGAATGACCATACTTGTACTCCATACTACCAGTAGTACAGAGTACACGCTCAACCATGCCCTCCAGCATCCTAGTTTGGCCTAGGTCATTTGGCGCTCTAACGCTGCGGCCATGCGCGTTTATATGTAAGACCAGCAGTCCTAACAGGCTTGTTACTCTAATAGGAGGTTAATCTGTTAACTAGGCAGGAGGAATTATCAATATGACAGAAGGGTTGAGTATCTTCAATCTTCATTGATAACGGTACTGTTGCTAATATACAGAGACTGAAGCTTGAGAGAAGAAAATTACTCTTGTTATAGAAGACCTCCTTCTTATGCATACAGGAGTCGTTAACAGGAGATCTCAACACCCCCTCCAAGTCGATCAAGTGATTCAAGTGATACACAATCATCCTGCTTGCAAACCCCTCAAAACGCATGTCAATTTAAGCGCCAAATGACTACTACGAAGAAGAGAATAAGCCGGCATACAAGGAGTTCATCTGAGGCTATTGGTGAAGTGTTGACACGGGCATCAAAGGCTTATGAGATGAGTATTAATAAGCTTACAATTGCACAGAAGGAACTCCATGATCTACGGGCTGCACATGAGAAGGAGAAGCAAAAACGTCGAAGATCTAAGCAGCAAATATCTCATGAGCAGGGAACTACCAGAGAGGAAGCTCAAGCACTCGTACAAGGTCGGGTTGAAGCATCCCAAGCTGTTACTACTGCTCCGGCCGAGCCTGAGCTTCCAAGCTGTTACTACTGCTCCGGCCGAGCCTGAGCTTCCAGTCTGTCATCCACCTGTACGACGTCAATTTCGCTGCAGTGGTTGTGGTGTTGCAGGACATAAAATAACCGGATGTCCTAATCGTATTAGGAATTCATTTTTTGTATATAATTAGTATGTGGGTTAGAAATTGAGATTTGAGATCAATATTGTGTACGTGTTCGGGAAAAAGTGCCGGTTCGCTTGTGGATTACGTTAATCTTAAAATTTACGTAATCGCGATGGACCCGTCGCTCTAACTAGTGGGAGCCTATTTTTGTATGCGGATAACATAAGCGATCACTGGATGCACTTGTAACAAAAAACGGGAATTCTATACCATATTGATCAGTCTCGTCAGCTTGTCGGAATAGCTGTTCTACGTGACTAGTGCTAGCGACCTAGACGCAGATAAACCGACACTAACCGTTCCCACTTTCATGTACGGTAGACCCTGCTGCAGTTGCCGAAGTCTACTATCAATCTTAACTCACTAGGTGTTGGGAACACTAGTTTAATGGGGTCCTAAGTGCAAATACCAAGACACCACGCGGAAGCAGGAAAAGCATAGGCCGCTTAGGAGGATGCGTCGAAAACACACGAATTGCATGTATCTACCGCACTAGTGCCCTATAGGGCTAACCCCTACAAGCGTAATAAATCATCATCATCATGGAAATTTCTGGTCCGACTGTACAATCTCTGTAGATCGAAAATCCGTCTGATTTGAATCCATGAAGTCATGACTGTTAATCTGAATGATGGTAATCTGAATGGCGAGTATAGGTATGGCTTATTGTTCCATTTCATGGTTACTGAAGATATAAAATTCGCGTTCAGAATTGTCATTACTCTTGATTTAAGAGACTGCAGCAAAGATTCCAACCACAGAGCAGCAGGCAGGAGATTCTGATGCTAATGGAGACTCTGCTAGGTGACTCTCAGTCCAGGACAACGTCACAGCCTTTCACTTCTTCTGGGATCACTGGTCTTCGGCGGATTTATCACAGTTAACCATGGCCCAGTATTGACTGGCAGTCCGGACCCTCAAGGGCTTTCCGTATTTAACCATAACCAAGAAAACTAACGAGACAGCCATACCGATGAAAGCTGCGGAAATAAAACAATTTTGGTACCCGAGATTCGTCAACCATGGTGTTATTCTGAGGATCAGTAGGTCAGTGACGCTTTATTCTTTCATAAGGATAGACCGCATACCCATATCCAATTGCAAATGACATTGTATTGCGTACAAGAATAACAGTCACGATGGCATCAGTGCTGATGTCATGGTAACTGTCAATCATGTAGTTGATGCTTAGCGTGATCCCCATTGTCGAGGTAAAAGCGAGGACGCCCATTCCAAATATCAGTCCAAACCAATGAACACCATGCTGAGCGCCAACACCCCACAGTATGAGAGATGAAGGCACTGTGATAACACAAATAGCAAATGGCCACAAGCGATGTTCGGCCTCCATAATGCCGTTATTGTGGCGAGCGAGCTTAATGGTCAGCCAATCACTCAGCCTGCCAGACACAATCGACGCGATAATAACGCCAATGCAACAAGACAGGTAACTGAGTCCAACCATTGAAGAGTCGAAATGATATGGTGCGCCTGAAAGGATGATGGAGGCTGTCGCGTTAAGAATATTGAACCAGATCAGATAACAACCATATGAGAAGCCTGCGTAAAAGATGACTGGCCACCCCAGAAACCTCAGGCTTTGAAGCGCATGATTGAACATGTTTTGACCCCGATTGGTTCGTCCAATCGACTTTTTTGTAACAAATGGCTTTTTTTGACTGTCAATATATCCATCTTCTGCCACGCGAGGCGTCGGGGTGGCGACAGCTATCTTTTCTCCTCCCGAAAGTTCTAAAGATGACAATCTATCAACTTGGGTTAATGTTGATTTATTACGATGGTAGGTGGTCTCTTCCATGAACAAGGCTAAAAAGACAAAGACAACACCTAGAAAAATAGCCGGCCAGTAAAATACCCACCTCCATCCCTGGTACTCGGCGATGAATCCACATATCACAGGGGCAAAGTAATTACTACCTGCTAGGGTCAGGGCATAGATACCCATATAGGTGCCGCGTTCGTGTGTAAAGTACTGCTCGCCTCTCAGCTCTCTCTTTGATCAATCAGAATAATCTCGTCAGAGGGCACATACCAGATCAGTCACACAAATCTCCGGAAGGGCTTCAATAGGAGCAATGAAGAAACCTTGCAAGATGCACTTGGCTATCCACTCGCCGTTGCTTGTTACGTATGCACTTCATGTATGTAAGTCTCATGCAGTAACCTCGAGCGATACTGTGGTAGGTAACAGCCTTACCTCCAAATTGATGTCCCCTTAAGAGCATGTTAATACAACGTATTATATTAATGGCGGTAAAACGGGAAATGGGATACTAACAATACCTCCAGCAACGGATAATAAAAATGTGAGACGTTTGCCATATCTGACTGAAAATGGCTGCCAAAACAGTAAACTCCAACCCAGGAACAGAAACATATATCCTGTCCCCTGATTTAACGTGTCAGTGGACACTCCCGAAGCCTTAGATAAGGGAACAAGGACGGAGTAAACGGTCGACACTGAAATACCAGCGAACCAAGTATATCTATATTCATTAGCAATCATACCTTTCCTGTTTCTGGATTAACGTACAGATTCTGGCAGATCAGTGACAAAAGTTTGCGACGAGGAGACCAATTAAGGGGATCATTAGGGTCGCTAGATGGTGTTGGATCTAGAACTATATCGCCGTTTGCATTTGCATGGCGAGTCCGCATTGAATGATCTATATCTACAAGATGAACTGTCCCGGGGATATGACTCGGCAGTTCGCGTGACATGGTGCTATTGTTTGAAGTAGACATACTGTCGATGAGGGGTTCAAGACTAGAGAAAAAAAATCATTCAGCTGACCTCTCTGACAAGAAATTGCGAATGTACATGAGGCCAATTGGTTTTATATTCACTAATCACCCGTTATATGAGCTCCTTTAGTCATGAATCATGAAAGATAGTAGCTGCACAAAGCCATAGCAAGATGGCCGACTTAAGAAGCCAAGCGGATGTATCGGGTATGAAATAAGCTCGAATATCAATACTCGTTCAAGGATACATGCTTATTGGATGCAGTATGCATTTCAAATGCTTTGCTTGATAAGAGAAGATGATCGGTGACGGAAGTGATATCACAAATATTTTTAGTCCTAGACGGACAAAATCGTGCTGTGGGTCGACCAACACTACTTACATGTCAGATGAAGGGAAAAGGCTGGCCGCTAGGAATTAAAAAGAACTCTTTTGTACGAGCACTATGCAATCCTCATATTTGAAACCTTTGTGGTGTCTGTAGAGCATTGCACCTAAGATGCTACCACCTTGCATATCGCATATCGTCCTACTTACCTTCCTTACCTTCCTAGGATATTTAACATATCATTAAATGCAGTCACTATTCACTATCTTCTTCCTTAGTTCTTGTTGTATGACCTTCAGTTCTGGGCAGTCAACCAGGACGTGAACCACTGTTTCCGTGTTTCCACATTGGCACTTATGTTGCTAGCCATGAATGGCCGGGCTTGGGAAATTACCAGTACAAAGTACAGTGGTTTGTAGAATACTAGTAAATTCATTATACCAGGAGGCAACTAAACCTAAAAGGCATTAATAGGCTATTTGTCCTGCATTATGTACAATGTGGTCATGGTCTCATGTTGAAAGGAAAAGCTGTATCAGCTCCAACAACCCCTCTAACCCATGTGTTATGTACCCATGTGTTATGTATTAAACGTTTCCTTATCATTGTAGTCATATTCTCCAAATGTAATAACCCATCCCTCTGAGACGTAAACCTCTTTTCTCAGTAAGTTAGTAGCGATTGACCAAGAGTACTTCTCACATTAGCGCCCGAATTAGCTGACTGCCTCGCTGGTCCGAATTCCGATCGGTAGCAGGTAGGTAGGTAAGTGGCCCAAAGACTCGTCGACGTTATGAAGTTGCAGACGAGTCCTTCTGAAGCTCCTCAGGCCTAGTTTCCACTGGAGTTTCGACTTAGAAAGTTTTCGGCTTCAGCTAGACTACGCAGTCTAGCTGACTTTGACATTCTTCATCACGAGAAGGTGACTTTGAACGATGGACCACTTTAATTCTGCAATTCTATTTCCTAAATATAGAATCGATTGTACTGTATAAAAGCAGTGAACCATCCACGTTGATTATCAGAGCAGAATCGTCATGGAGTTTCAGCTTCCTTCTCTACAAGATATCTTTCCTATCCTCCCACTGCAATGTTGCACGTGCTCAGAGAATTATTTCTGGAGTGACTTACACCTCACGTAAGAGACACGTATCTTTCCGATCTTACCACTATATAACTGACTGTTTTAACAGAATCCATAATTATGTAGGATGAGTTAAATTCATCACTTAGAATCGACAACGTAATTTAATTTAGAGGTTACTGGATATGTCCTGGGATTAGATAAAAGAAAATGATAGATTCTAGGTATCCTTCTCAAGTTCTTATTGCTCCCCTCCCCTCCGGCAATACCGCCAATGACCAAAGAATCGCTCCTTTGTTCCATTGCCTATCGCCTTGGCGAGGGGTCGGGGTATGAATATACCAGCATCACCACTGGACTAGTAATGAATTGAGATTTAAAATCAATATAGAACACGTTTCCGGGAGAGGTGGCGGGATTGCTTACATGCCCGGGTTGCTTACCGCTTACGTTATTATGAAAATATCCATCTCGAAACTGGCTCAATATTTGGTAAAGCAATGTCAACAAGCCACCCTCACATAGAAGAGCTCTCCCGGGCATATAAAAGCTAATACAACACGTAGAAGGAAGCTCGAATCCTCGATAGCATAACCTTTACTTTGTCACAAACCGAACGGGACAAATACTAATCAACTATCGCTCAATATGGCTCAAGAGGCTCCGACTAACGTCGTTAGGTTATTACCCATGGTTCAGTCAAAGCCCATTCCAGTGGGTACAGCAAGTTTTGAAGAGAAACGAGCAGCTTTACTTAAAGCCTTCGATAGAAAAGTCCCGCCTGAATATCACCTCCGTGCGGAGTTTCTTGAGGACCCCCCCTCCGATGTCTCTACTATACCGGCCAATTGTGGTATCTTGAACGAGGAGGAGATCAAGATAACTGAAGAGTATGATGCGGTGGGCCTAGCAAAAGAAATCGCTGAAGGCAAATATAAAGCGGTTGAAGTAGTAACTGCTTTTTCAAAAAGGGCAATTATTGCTCACCAGCTCACAGGTTGTTTGACACAGTGGTTTATGGTTGAGGCACTGGAGCAGGCGAAGCAGCTAGACATATATTTAGAAAAGAATAAGAGACCTATGGGTCGTCTACACGGTGTACCAGTCAGTATCAAGGACCACATCCCGGTTGCTGGGACATCCTCTTCGTTAGGATACCTCAGTACCATCGTCGAAGACGAAAGTGACTGCCAGATGGTCCAGATCCTTCGTGGCGCGGGTGCTGTCTTTTACTGCAAGACAAACCAACCTCAGAGTCTCATGCATCTCGAAAGCGACTCTCTCTGGGGCCGGGTCTTGAACCCATTCAATATCAACCTTTCCGCTGGTGGCTCGACAGGTGGAGAAGCAGCGCTGATAGCTCTGATGGGCTCGCCCCTGGGAGTTGGCACCGACATTGGAGGAAGTATCCGTTGCCCAGCTGCGTTTTGCGGCATCTACGGGTATAAACCGACATCGCACATATTACCGATGAGAGGGTTCCTACCTACCCCAGTAGCAGCGGAGCTCAACATTCCCGCCTCTACTGGGCCAATGTGTCGCAGTATAAGAGACATCGACCTATTCATGACCACTATATTGGAAGCGAAGCCGTACCTCCTAGACCCCAATCTAGTTCCTATTTCTTGGACGGGATCACGGACTCCACCAAATAGCCACCGCCTGAAAATCGGCGTCATCAGTAACGATGGTTTCATCCAGCCTCAGCCCCCTGTTGCGAAAGCGATTTCTTGGGCGAGAAAACTTCTGTCTGATCCGGTGCACGCAAGCCAGGTTGAAGTGAAGGAATTCAAACCGTTCGGCGCGGCCGACGCCTGGTCGAAGATTCGTCGGATGTACTGGCCTGATGGAGGGGATTTAAGCAAAAAAGCCATCGTCTCAACAGGGGAGCCACTCCATTCCTTGACTGAATGGATATGGGAAGAGCAACAGGAGTCGGGTATGCAAACCGCGCAGGCTGTAAACCTCTTGCGAAAAGAGAGGGATGATTTCCGACACAAATTTGCGAAGAGTTGGGAAGAGCAGGATGTTGATGTAGTGATCGGGCCGGCATTTGTGGGGCCGGCATCTGCCCATGACACGGCTTTCTACTGGACATATACGTCTTTATACAATATGGTTGACTACCCGGGCGTGGTGATACCAACTCCCATTCGTGCAATTTCCGGGGAGCAATATGACCAGGGGTACACTCCGCTGAGTGATGCTTGTCAGGATGTGAAAAAGTTGTGGGGCAAGTCTGATTTTAAGGGAGCACCCATCAATTTACAACTGGTAGCACGGAGGTATCACGATAACGAGTTGCTTTCTGCTCTGTCGTTGCTGAAGAATATCCTAGGTTTAGCTTATTAAACATATTTTTTCACCATTTATTAGAAACTGATAGCGGTCTAGATGCACTATAGCTCCGAAATGAATAAATGAATCCGATTATTGACCACGTTCTATTCACAGCCTGTGGACATACTATCACTAAATTAGTCGGCGGATCAGGAAAAAGAAAAGAAACCTGTACATCACCAGATACAGTACAACAGGGCTGTTGCGAATACGAATATTCGTAGTGATCAGCAATATTCGTCAGTTATTCGCATTCGCAATTTACAAACACTGTGAATAATATCTCCTCTTTTTTTTTCGCAAGTCTTCATTGTACGAATAAATTATTTCCTGACTAGTTAAAACTGCGAATACAAATGATAGATAGATATTTATTACGCCCGGAGAGACTAGCCCTATCCTAACGTAATCGGACGCCGAGTGATCATGACACCGAGCGGATCACTGCTCCGGATCGCGTTAAACTATTTCTATACACCAACGCGTCAATATGCCCCCAATTCGTACAGGAAGAACACAAAATTCAAGCAATCAGGAGGGCAGGATATTAATTGCTATATCTGATTTAAAAAATGGAAGAATCCGATCTATTCGCCAAGCTCTGATATGATGTTGACATACGTTGAGCCACACAGTTTCAATTTGCTATGTCATGTTGGAATCCGTATATATGTAGTGGGAGTTAGTGACACAGGTTTGCTGACAAATTGTATATCATGTTCTGCTCCTCTGCATACATTAGGTTCCAAAGCCGGACTTATATAGATATTTTGTTAACTAGCAGACTTGGGCTCTCCCTGTTCCGAGGAATACGACCATGACGTTTTAAGTTAAGTTTCAGGTGCACCAGGTGAAGGTTTATATGTTTGAGGTTGGCTTTGGGATTCTATACCTTGTTGGAAATCCGGAGCATCTGAAAAATACCATTCCGTCCAACAGATACCTAACACCAGGCTTCCAACATGTCAACAAGACCCTATATTACTGTATTATGTAGTACGACAAAACTCCTGTTATATTCCAAATATAGCGTATCGTGTTGTAACACAGGCTTACTAACAGTATTACTGTAGTTAGTTATTTTGGGAAATAGTGCCGACAAATTCGAATAAAATACCGTTATTTGACGCTGTTTTGAATAATACGACGACGATTCCTAAAGGAAATACCAAGAGATTCCTTTTTATCACATATTAGAGTACGTTCATGTAATACATACAACCAGTGATAAAGAACGTATATTTTGCGTTTTGGACAATATTAGCTCCCAACGCTAACAAGTCAATGAAAGGCTTCTTTCAAGTGTCATGCTGAAACCGCAAGCCACTGTACTAGATGATGCTGGCTATACATTCTTTATATTACCGACGGGAAGTTGGCATATTGACTTCAAGAATTTAGTGTTTGATTCTTTAAAAAGACATGATGCAACTGAAGGGAACGGATAGAGATACTGTACCTCTCGTCGTTTAGCAAAGTCTTTGTAAAAGCCTAACCAGATCTCGTGAGCTCGACAGTCTTCTTCGCCGGTTTCAATGTCCAGACCCACAATTTGTAAAAGCAAAATTTCTCCAAGGAGTACAAAAGCGCTGGAGGCGGGATTTCTATCCTGCTATTGACTATATGTATCTGTTCGATCACAAGCTGGCCGCAACGTACATATGAGGACGCTCAGCGTGACTGCAATTTCTCTCAACCTCATCGCTTGAACGACAAAATCAGATGTTGCAAACTTATATATTTAAGGCTCTTGGCTATCGGGACGATTTGATCAGCGGAACCGTAAATGAATTTAGCTATAGGATCTAAAGAATGTAATAATCTGTCGCGCTTTTTTACCAAGATATGATTCTCAATATTGAAATATGGTATTATGGGCACTAAAATGCTAAACCCAAGGTTGATGATTTGGCCGACATAAGTGTTCCTTATAAAATCCCAGTTCTTCCTTTTTTACAGTCCTTTTTATGTTTTTTCCATGCGGCCTTTTGGCAATCGCGGTTGCAGTAACTTACAATTCCGCACCGTAAACATTTCTTGGGTCGTACGTCATGTTTTCCACAGTTATCACACTTCTCACTAGCGGGTCCCCGCAGCTGGGATTGAAGTTGTCGCTTCTGCTCGTTAGTTATGAAGGATTCCATATACGGTATTGCTGAAAGTGGCATAATCGCAATGCGCGTCGCGTACTTGGCAAAAATCTCCCAATTCCGAATACGGGGAAACCTGTCGATATCATGATTTTCGCCGCACACACAGATTGGTAAGACACTATGCTCTGTAGACAATGGTATTCGGCCTTGCGAACGATATTCGCAGCCTTCTCCATGATGCCAAACCTGTCGACAGCATTCCACTTGAACAGGAAGTAGCTTCTTCCACAGTATTTCTTCTTCACGGGACTTGATTATAACGCTAAGTATCTCGCCCGCCGTAGCAAGAGATTTTAAGGCTTCCGCCACTTTAGAAACCCTCTCCTTTGTCAAAGGGACTACAAAGGCATCAAGCAGGATCGATCTCTGTGGGATATTATGGCGTAACGCTGAGGCGAAGATCAAGGTATCGGAGCTGTCTCTCTTATGCTTGCAGGTAAGTTGAAACACTCGCGTTTGACCATGCGGGTTAAGTCCCATAAAGCTTTGCAATAAATTATTTATTGAGGACTTGAGCTGAAGCAACACATCGCAAGTCTCAGCTGACTTTTTTTCATATGATGCCCGTTCTTTCCCGCTCAGCGTCCAGCCCATGAATTGCGTCAGCCAATCAAGCTTTCCCGCAGCGCAGATTTCTGGCTGTCTATCGAGATTCAAATTGGAAATGAGAAGCGGATTCAGCTGTTGCCTGCACATATATATGGGGAATAGATTGTGGTTGTATCCACCACGAGAGAGCGCGGAAGCAATCGGAACCGTCATTTCAACAACCCCAGATTTAATACTGGTCTTCTGTTGTTCCCCATCTACAGGAAATGGGTAATGCATTTGTAAGTCGTCGAAGTTCTGAATTTTCACAGTCATGGTGCATGGCGAAATTTGCGTCGCCTCGAAACTTGTGCCACATGTCACGGCGGCATCCGAAGTTTTCCGGACCTGCAAGGTGTGGACGCGTGAGTCCTTGTCCAGATGCACTATGCAAGCTTCCCGCTGAGAGGATATAGTCTGCTCTATTGTAGCATGCGTGCTCTGTGGCCAACATGTGACTCCAGGAGGTCCACTCAAAATCCGCAGATTGTAGCTGTCTAATCCGCATTCGTACACACTCAGACGTAATCCTAGATGAGGTATATAGTGAGATGTGGATGGAGTTGTTGAGACTGCCAAGGCGACACGGATACCTGCTTTCGGTCCTAGGAGTAAAGACCATGTAGGAACTGCACAGGTCACGATTAGATCCGCGATCCCCTGCCATCTAAGATCGTCGGAAATAACATCACAGATAGCATGATCATTATTCCGTGTCCTCAGCTGTCCGAAGAAGCATTGTATTGCATAAAAGCTATTGTCAAAGCCTTGTTCAATGTTTGAGATGCTGACATGAAGACCTGGCGTACCCCGTGGGTCGCTCTCTTTCGTGAAGACCTCGAGTTTGTGGCGTGGAACTATCAAAGCCACATATACAACTGGCGGAAGCTCTTCACGCCCCAAGAGCCCACTATCAGCAACGCGCGGTCTAGGCTGTCCGTATGGGGTTCTACCGATACTGCGAGGCGGTTGTCGAAGGACATCACTCGTGAATAGGCCCAACAGGTGGAGCAATACATAAAGCTCTTGGAGGCTGTTACTTCCGACAAGAAGTCTTGTGTCGGCTTGTATCATGTCCAGGAGGTACTTTATGAAGGGTGACCAGTCGGTATAGACATGATTCTTGGCCAAAGAGAGGAGACCAACAAACGTCATGCGATTGTAATGTCGAAGATCTACCGATAGTGGTGACTCCACCTGGCGCATCAGGGAATCCATCATAAGACTCATGTCTTCACAGCTGAACATTGCTAAATATAGCTTATAAAAGTACTCAGCAAGCTGTTCAGGTTTATATGCAAGTTGGTGACACGGAGATAAGCCATCCTGCACCTGGAAACAGTCACCGAAGTTGGGTATCCTCCATGCAATACTCACATAGTATTGACTCTGCCGACCAACTTTCTTGGGAATGATGAGATCGACCGCTGCCTCAATTCCCACCGCATCAACCGTGTATGGGAAGAGTTGTGCGGTAGGTGTAAGTCCAAATAGTAAAGACGTCGTAGCGACGTCTGAGCATAATAGAGTAGAGAGTGTTGTCGTTGTATCTTCTGCCGCCCGTAACATGCCATTTGTGTATAAAACCGAGGTTATTCGATGGGCTAAGAGTGGTATAACTGCAGGTAAAACATTGAGCATCCCAACATGATCTACGAGATTAGAAGTGTCAATAATGTCGTATAAACTGCTGTCGCCGGGCGGATCTACGGTCTGAAGAACTAGCTCTGTGGAATCCCACGGATACGTGTATGCCCTCGTGATTTTGGGAATTTGATATGTCGAAGTATGGACCGCTTGCAACGCATGACAAAAGCGCAGAGCCTCTCCGCAAAAGACTCTGATGAAAAGAGTATTAGCATGTACCTGCTCTTTGAAAGTGGTGCACCACTCCAAAAATTGAGTTTTTGCAAGACCGACAATCTTATTTTTTAAATCCCACTCGGAGCAAGTTTCATCGTCGAATGCACTAGCGAGGTGAAATCCAAGAAGTGGGTCGGTGCCATAATGGACAGCAAATTTCCCATTTGGTGCAGACGAGAGGGCAAATAAAGGGTTCACACGCCCGCGCCCATCCACTTCAAGGTTTTGTACATCTATCGTATTACCAGCAACAACGCCGGTCTCCCAGAATTTTTGGAAGCAAGAAGAAAGCACAGGCATCGCACGGGCCCAATGCACTGCCGCTGAGCGAAGGCCGTGGGTAGTAAGGACATTGTCCCCTATATTTTTCATATATGTGGATTTGATAGCCTCTCTTGTTTTCTCCTCGAAGGAATTTCTTTGACGAGCACTCAAATTTGCCATTTCAGAGTATTGGTGCCAAAATTGACGAAGGCGACAGAGCGTATCTTCACTCATGAAGCTGATGAAGGCGCCATATTTTGAGGAGAACCATGTCTCGGGTGTTTCAGAACAGACTAGCAGTTTACTTGCCTGGCTCTTTATCAGGGCTATGTCGGCATTTGTTACATAGAAATGGTAAAAGATATTCCATATCGCCGCTTCCGATGCATTATCAGCGATCAGAGAGAAGAGGATGACGTTTCGTGCTGCAAGGGTTACAATCAGCCTTCCATGGAATGAAAATAGCGTGGGTACCTATGATCGCAGCCTCAACATCACAGCAAGTAAACTCCCATTGAATTTGCGCATCTGAGACCCTAGGTTAGCTACAATTTAAGATAACTGGCACATGAATCGTACATACCATGATTGGACTTGCACCACAGAGTGAAAAGTAGGTTTCTAGGATCTCCACATGCCAATAGCAGGATTTTAACACGTTCCTCCTCTTTTTGCTCACATTGTAATGGCAGGACTCGGCAAGCGAAAACATTGGTAGCTGGTGTATTACCAATCGGATAAAAGAAATATTTCAGGTTGATAATCGTTGCACCGAGCATGTTGCTAATATTGAATATATTAGTCACTCAAAGGGATATGGAGGAATAGTCCAATGGGCAGAAATTGAAGGCGCATATATAACTGTGTCTGTAAATATCAAAGAGGAGAGACATCCAATTTTAACTGTGCAAAATAGCTTTGGATTCTATACTCATACTGCATATTATTAGAAGTATTCAGGCATCAATGCATTCACTTGCATGTCCTGGCATGTAATTCTACCCATAGGGTATTGTGGGAGATGAATTTTTTTTTCTGGTGCTCAGTGACTGATGTTGGAGGAGCAGCATTATCCACTATTATTTACCGGAATGCACTATGTTCCATGCATGTATATCATTTTGTCAACACCTTTATCTGCAAAAGTACATTAGATTATATCACTGGCTTGCACATGTGTTGTGTTTTAAAGAATCTCCACGGCTTGCGAAATCCTTAGTTGTGTGCCATTTCCAGCAAAAATGGGTCTGCACGCCAGATAGACACGACGTTGATCTACATCTGAATATGCCGTAATAAGCTGGCGTGAGTTTGGAAACTGTTGGAGTGCTACTCAAATTCGAGTGTAAAATATTTAGCGAACTGTACAGTATATAAATGCGGACTGGTGCTCTCCCAGCCATTTGACTGATCATGTTACACAGCAGAATACCATCGTAGCCTACAACTCACCGCAACTTCCCCTGCTAAATAAACATTCCCACTTGTATCCTTTCTCATACTGTGCTCAGTCCAGAGTGCTGGTATTGGCAGTATTGTTTGGCTAGGTGTGGGAACCACCTTTTCATCTGGTGATTTGAAAAGTGATGTGAGACTATAACACTATTCTATTCTTCCATGTGCTATTTTTCTGCTCCTACCTAGGTGGCTCTCACTAACGCGACACTTGAAGTAGCAGCTTATTCAGATTTCAGCATTCAGTATGGCACAAGATCCTAGCCATAATCTTGCCTTGCAACTTTGTTTGGAGGATCTCAACGAGTTGGGACATCGACAGAAGGGAAAACAGACGGCGGGCAAACCAACAGACCTGGAATTAGCGATCGCTTCCATGAGAGATGACCTCCTCGCTACCCAAGTCTCTATTCAAGACTAAATCTTGGCCGTTAGTACTAGCACTGCGATCGTCACCGATCAGAAAATTTTGATGTCTATCATGTATGACGAAAGCGTTGCTCGACATGATCATCAATTGGCGAGGGGAATAGATGGAGAGGAGCATGAAGTACTCGATACTGTTGGCGAGGGCAACTCTAGACAGGAATTTGACGATAGCGACGCTATCTCCACAGTAATAGGAGATCTGATGGAGCGGATGCATCTAAATAGCAAAGCTGTTGAAAGAGGAACCCCTGTGCGTTTGACTCCAACGCATCGTACTACCAAGCAGTGCGGCTCCTGTCTGGATGATACTGATATTTTTTTCGAAAGCGCCTGTGGTCACGGATTCTGCAGAGATTGTATCAGGCAATTGTTTCTTGGTGCCATTAAAGACGAGGAGTTGTACCCACCACGCTGTTGTGGTCAAATTATACCCCCTGGTATCACTCTACGGATCTTGACGTATCATGAACTTCAGGATTTCGGCGAAAGAGCTATCGATATACTGCAAAAGATCGAATTTACTGTGCAGAGCTCACATGTTCGAAATTCATCCCACCTTCCGCAATTCGCAGCGACCATGGTATTTGCCCTGAGTGTCATCAAGAAACCCATGTACCATGTCGCTCTCTTGCTCATCCTGGCGTTGACTGCCCACTTGACGAGAGCCTTCAGAATGTCCTAGCTCTAGCGGACACTGAGAACTGGATGCGATGCTTAACTGCCGAACGCTGGTCGAGCTTCAACACGGTCGTAACCATATCACTTGCCGGTTAGTCGTCATAAATGTGTCTTCAGTTAGAGGATAGATACTCAAGCGTATTGATGCTAATCGTTTCTATTCAGCTGCGGTCATGAATTTTGCTACGTCTGCGGGGAGGTGTGGAAGAATTGTGATTGTCCCCTGTGGCATGAGAACAGACTAGAGTATATGGCCAACCAAGCAGTCGGTGATGAGGTGGAACCTGGGGCGGATCCCCAAGTTCGCCAGGGCATTTTCAATAAAATTATCGAGAACGTACGCCATCACGAAGACGTGGGGTGCGAACACTATAGAAACTCTCAGTGGGCTTGGCGGAATCCAGGCAATTTGCAATGCGAAGTTTGCAACCATTTTCTTCCGGAATACATCTTTATGTGCACCAATTGTCGTATGAGGGCATGCAAAAGGTGTAGAAAGCATCGATTACGGTAATTGAATTGTTAATTGACGACAGTGAGCCGGTCCTTTCTGTCCCCCATTGGAGGCGAGAATTAAGTCGAATACCTGGATGACTGAACAAAGCCTATACAAATAGCCTCATTAACCAGCTAATTATATCCAGTAGAGCAAAATAGCAAAATTATGTGAACAACTCCGAAAGATATTATCAATCTCCTGTCCAGCTCTACTGCTTGAACAACCATTTGTCAAACTGCATTGTATCCAGTCCTTTAGGTAGCGATTCCCTCCTTGTTTGCCATTTGCTGGAATAAACTCCAAAGCTACTATGATCCATTGGGTTAAGTACAAGAGACTTCATCTGCAATGTCTGAAAGCTATCCTCGCCCTTACAGATAACTCTAACTTTATACGCTCTCTCCGCAAGTATACTCGCCCAGCCCGATTTTGGTGCGCGATACAGATCTGGAAAGCATCGTAGTGTCGGATTGGTGTGGGTTAAGCCCAGTCCAATCTTGAATAATTGCTTACAAGGATGGCGAAAGAAGAAGTGACTAGCAAGATTGTATGTATTGAGTTCTCTCTGTGTCCCTGTCTCATGCATCAGGTTCAATCCCGGGTCTTTTATAGACACTTTTGGCAGGGTGATTTGTGAGCTATCATAAAGGGTAAACATTGGGCTGAAATTTAGGTGCCCAGATATATGTCTTAAGGTGTCTTTTTTAGACCTGCAAGATCGAACAGCCGAGACCTCTGCCTCTTTTGATGTCCGGATTATCTGACAACACCTGGGGATTCCTGTACACACGGTACAGTATAACGTAGTTCACTAGTGAGTTGGCCACACTAGTGAGTTGGCCACTTTTACCCGAATACGCGTTCTATACTGATCCTTCACAACTCAACGCGTCAATATGCCACCAATTCGCAATAAAAATCAAAAAAATTCTGCTGAGCAAGAAGGACGAATCCCATTAGCTATTTCTGATTTAAAGAATGGCAGAATACGCTCTGTACGGAAAGCAGCAGAGATCTATAATATCTCACGGTCAACTCTTCAAAATAGAATCAACGGCATGCCATATCGAGCTGAAAAACACGCCAATAACCATAAATTAACTCAATCTGAGGAGGATTCGCTTGTCAAATGGGTTATTGATTTAGATCGACGTGGATTACCTCCCCGGCACTCTCTCGTACGAGAAATGGCTAATTATATGCTTTTACAACGTGGCAATCAACAAGTTGGTGAGAATTGGGTAACCAAGCTGACTAAACGCCGTCCAGAGATCGATTCGAAGTTCTCACGAAGATATAACTATGAACGCGCTAAATGCGAAGATCCGAAGATAATCCGGGAACATTTTGATCGCGTACGAGCTGCTATATTGGAGTATGGGATCTTACCAGAAGATATTTACAATTTTGATGAGACTGGCTTTGCTATGGGACTCTGCTAATCTGCAAAGGTTATTACTGGAAGCGATCGATATGCACGGCTAAAGCTTTTACAGCCTGGGAATCGAGAATGGGTGACTGCAATTGAGGCAACAAATTCAACTGGATGGGCTGTTCCTTCGTACATTATTTTCAAGGCAAAGAAAAACGTACGATTAGGCTGGTTTGATGATCTTCCAAGTGATTGGAAGATCAATATTAGCGAGAATGGTTGGACTACAGATCAAATAGGATTAGAATGGCTTACAACCCATTTTATTCCCTATATCAATGATCGTACAATGGGAAAATATCGAATGTTGATTCTTGATGGCCATGGAAGCCATTTGACTGCAGAATTTGATCGTATATGCACTGAGAATAATATTATTCCAATCTGCATGCCACCTCATTCTTCACATATATTACAGCCTCTTGACGTTGGCTGTTTTGCTGTTTTAAAACGGCATTATGGGCAGCTTGTTGAGCAACGAATGAGGCTTGGATTCAACCATATCGACAAAATGGACTTTTTAATGGCATTTCCACAGGCTCGTACGGTGGCATATAAAGCTCAAACTATTCGGAATAGCTTCACAGCCACTGGATTAGTGCCTTTTAATCCGGATCGAGTTATTCAACAACTTAATATTCAATTAAAAACACCAACACCCCCTCCGAGTCGATCAAGCAATACACAATCATCTTGCTTACAAACCCCTCAAAATATACGCCAATTTGTACGCCAGTCAACTACAATTACGAAACGTATAAATGAACGTACAGGAAGCCCAAATCAAGTGATTGATCAAGCAATTATGCGGATGTCAAAGGCCTATGAAACGACTATGAATGATCTTGTACTCGTACAGAAAGAAAACCGTGATTTACGAGCTGCGCATGGCAAAGAGAAACAAAAACGCCAAAAATCTAAGAAACAGATATCTATTGAGCATGGGATTACTGGCGAAGAAGCTCAAGCGCTCGTACAAGATCAGGTTGAGGCATCTCAAGCTGTTACTACTGCTCCGGGTGAGCTGGAGCTCCCAGCTTCTCAAGCAGTCGTACGCCGCCAATTTCGCTGCAGTGGTTGTGGTGTTGAAGGACATAAAATTAATCGATGTCCTAATCGTACTAGTAGTTAGATTTTTGTATATATTTTTGTATGTGGCTTTGAAAATTGGGATTTGAAATCAATATAGAGTTATTTTCGGGTAAAAGTGGCCAACTCACTAGTGTGGCCAACTCACTAGTGAACTACGTTAGTTATCTAGCTAGCTGTTGGATTAGCTAAGCTGATTCAACCAATCAGATAGAGGAGATTTGTCAGCCAATAATAGCGAGCCACACACTGATCCACCGAATAGGGGGTAAAAGATATCTTCCACCTAGACTATACTTAGACACAAGAACAAGAACAACAAGGATCAAGGATTCCCACATCTTGTGCATACATAATTTGATACGTTGAGATAAACCGCTAGAGATTGTTACATACAATCTAACACTAGCTATCCCCGTCCCCCCCGTTCTTGGGGAGAGGAATGGAAAAAAACGATTTTCGAGTTGATAGGCGACTTCCTTATAATTATTTATATCAAACAGTCGGAGGCTCAAAATCCTCAACCCTCTCTACCACCTAGCTCCCAGGAGTGCAGCCTTTGACGCGTCTCAACGCGCCCGGCAACACCATGGCGCGTAAAGGCCCTGGTACAGACGGCCCTCTACAGATAGCCCTTCTAGAATCCACGTCTGCAGCCACAACAAGAGCTTCTAAAGGACAGAAGATCTTTAGCCCCATAGCTATATTCCTTGATAAACACCGCAGCTAAACTACTGGCCTTGCTCCTCACCTACTGAGAGTCCTCACCACTCTAAGCGATAACCTCACCTCGGTAGCTCAACAACATTTTAACACTTATATTAGCAGTATCTCGATAACCTCCATTTTATCTGCCCTATCTTCTTCCCCTTCCTCTTCCCCCACCCTAAATCCCTTACTCTCTTTACTCCCTCCCTCACGTCCCCCCTCAGGTCTTAACCAGTCAACTTATGCTACTATTACCTAATATACCCTGGTCAAATCAACTCCTACTACTTACCCTAAAGCCTCCATCAAAAAGCCTATGCCTCTAGTAAAATAACCCCTTCCTGACATCTGGCTCTTTGTATGCTTCCCAGCTGATCATGCAGCTAGAAAAATGGAAGCCTACGCTATCTACTCTAGCCTATAATCTCAACTAAACTTAAATAGTGCAGCACTAAAAGAAGTCCAAGCTATAAAGACTGGCTTTGCACTATGTCCCTCATCTCCAGAAGCTCTCCTAGCCCTTGAGGCCTAAAAAGAGACTATCTCTATATTCTTTGTTAACTACTAGATAGAACGCAGCTCCCGATGGGTCTCATACTGAGTCACCAACATGCCAAGAAAAATTAGCCAAATCTTGGATGGTTAATACTCTCTAATCCCTGTCAATTCTACACTACTATCCTTAGAAATTAGCGAAACTACAGGGCTCAAGCCTATATCTATTAGTGAGACCACTACGAGCGCTATCAACCCTAATACTCTCTCCTCAAGCTGGTTTGTCAACTTCCTAGAAGGTATAAAATTACCACTGCCTATCCAGCTACATCTGTTGGCACTATCACTAATACTCGTCACCTCTCTAAGAAAACAATAGTTATTCAATACACACAATGCTAGAAATGGCATAATGCACGATCCTATGCACGCCCCTCTCAATGCCGACTATGCGGCTCCTTAGAGCATATTGAAGAGGGCCATGTCAACCGCTGCACAGCCCCAGAGCCTCATCAATGCCTTTCTAGATGCATACACTGCCATAGACTACATCTAGCTGATTTCGCAGAATGCCTTCTGCGCTCTAAAGGCAATACTAAACATACTAAAGCTCAACAAACAGAGATCCGCAAATCCTGCGCTATAAACCTTGTAAAAGCTTGAACTGAAGGAGGATATAGCTCTTGGCTTTCCATAGGCACACAAGAAATACCTATGGCATTAGATAAGATATTATTATAGCCTTTAATCCATAAGATTATCTCTTCTTTCCGTTTAGTAACCCCCCCACCTTGCACCCTAACTGAAGATTCTCCCATTATAGCTTATGCAGTCTATTTTATAATCTCTTAACCATAAAACTGGTTCGCCTCTCTTCTTAAACAGGAGCTATAATCTATCACTATCTAACTCAAAAGGTGCCTCTCAAAATTCTACAGTTAAATGTAGAGCACGTGCTAGATGCACATGAAATAGCCCTCACATTGGCATATACTAGCGACATCAATATTATCCTAATCCAAGAACCATATATATTCAAAGACCTCAGTCAATAGATCACTAAAAAATATCCATTATATGAATGCTTCTCCCCAACTAATAGCTAGGCAATAAGTTGCCAACCACGAGTCCTCATCTATGTCTAAAAGAAGAAAAGCATCTAGACCTCCCAGCTATGCCTCTTTATAACTGACACTAAAGAAGCCTTGGATCTCCTATTCCTTTAGATTTTTTTGCCCACAGGAAAGTCCACTCTGATAGTTAACATCTATAATACCCTAGCAGGCTACAGTAGAGTAGGTGAAGCCGCGAAAGCTCTTATAACCCTGCCAGAGGTATATTTCCCTTAAACAATAATGCTTGCAGGCAATCTTAACCTACTACACAACAGATGGCAACCCTCACTATAACGCAGCCCTACAACTTTTGCAGAGCTATTTATTAACTAGCTGGATCTCCAGGGTCTAGTACTTATTTCCGACATAGACTGTCCCACACATAAAAGGGGTAATGTGCTAGATCTTAGTTTTGTCTCAAGCCCTCTGGCACTCGCAGGAGCCAAAGCTAGCATAGCGAGCCATTTAGATGCAACCTCTGATTATCAACTACTAATTACCACTATTCCATGGGATTAGAGATACAAGGAAACAGCTTAGAAACTGAGATTTAACACATTAGACCACACCTCCTTCTTCTCGCTCCTCGCCTCTAATCTCGCTGGCACTGAGAGCTCAGCCACAACAGAAGAAGATCTTGATGCTCTTATTAAAAAACTGACATCTACAATTCAAGGAGCATATAGAGGCTCTGCTAAGAGGACTATAACACAAGCATAGAATAATTATAGTGGAACAAAGACTATAAGAAAGCTTTACACAATTACTGCTTAGGCCTCTGCTCAAAGACAGACTTCTATAGGATAACTAGATGGTCTCAATAACAATTTTAGCGAGAGAAGCTCTCTACGGTAACACAAATAAAGGATGTTTTTAACATAAGTAAATGGCATAAGTCTACAGGTATCTTCCGAAGCCCTCCACTGAAAGATCCGCTAAGGCCTAACAGCCTCCTAGCAGTTACTGTATATGAGAAACGAGACGTACTAGTCCACAATCTTCTCCAGAACTCGGCAGAGGCAGAAGACATACCTCTAGACTCCCCAACAGTCCCTTCCACTAGTCTCTACTTCCCAGATATATCGATGCTACAAGTGGAGGAGTCAGTACTTCAGGCAGGAAATATAGCCCCTGGCGCAGATAAAATCCTAACCTGCATACTCAAAGTAGTATGGCCTCTAATCAAAGATAAGGTACTAATGCTATATCAAGGGTGCCTAAAGATTGGTTATCATCCTAAATGCTTTTGACACACAATCTTAGCAATCATCTAGAAACTAAAAAAGACTGATTGGTCTTCACCTAGTTTATATAGACTAATCACTCTCCTATCAGTACTTAGCAAAGGACTAGAGCGCTTGGTGACACAGAATATAGCATGGATCTTTATATATTATAAAGTATTAGCAAGGCAATAATTTAGGGCTCTCCTACTAAGATCTATAACTGACCTAACCATATGCCTAATATATGATGTTGAACAAGCGCTAAATCAAGGCATGACTGCCTCACTCCTTACCCTAGATGTCAAAGGCGCCTTTGATTCCGTGCTTCCTGGCAGACTGATCCACAGACTACGCAAGCAGGGCTGGCCTACCAATCTCGTTCTCTGGATTGCCTCCTTCGCTACTGGAAGATCAGTTCAGATCTGACTCGATGGAGAGATTAGCCCCTCAACAGACATTGCCTGCAGTCTTCCACAAGGATCCCCAGTATCTAGCATTCTTTTCATGCTCTACATAGTACCTCTATTCCGTCTAGGAAACCCAAGGAACAGGTTTGATTACGCGGACGACGTAGCCAACCTAGCAATCTCAACATCTCTTACTACTAATTGCGAAGCCTTATCAGACTCACTTTAAGAAGCTCTTAATTAGAGTGCTGCAGAGGGTATTATATTTGCACTAGATAAATATAAGCTTCTTTACTTCTCCCAATATAAAGTAGACTAGGACCTAACCCACACATCTTTAGTGAAAGCTGGATCTATTATAATATTAGAAAACACTAAATAGCTATATCTATAATAGCTAGGAATCCTCTTTAATAAAAAGCTAACATTTAAATGGCACATTAGAGAAACAGCATCTAAAGCCCTCACTGTGACTAACGCTCTTCGCTCTCTAGGGAATACTATTCAAGGAGTCAAATCTGATTTACTATAGTAGACTATATCAGCCTATATACTCCATAAAGCATACTATGGCGCAGAAACCTGGTGACCAGGATGTACTCGCCCTGAACCTTCCTAGATTTCAAACTGAGTTAGAGAACATCTTAAGAAACTAACTAAAGTAATACTAATATGCGCAAGAGCAGTCCTTCCAGTCTTCCGCACAACCCCAAAGCCAGTCCTTTATCGAGAGTCTAGATTCTCTCCACCAGAAATCGAACTAGATTGAATAGCCCTCCTTGCAACTGTCCGCCTATGGCATCTCGACCCTTATCACCTACTTCGAAGACGCGCAGAACAGATCGCTAGTAATAGCTGACAAACCAGCTAATTTGCCTACCATATACTGGCCCTCCTAAACTCTGAACAGATAAACCCTCTCTAATACGCTCCCTGGCACCCTCGCGAGCCTTATGGGAATGCTCAAGCTCAAATAGGAGCTCCCATAGGACGCACTAAGGAACAGGCAGCAGCTAATTTCATAGCTTTTCAATATACCATCCCTAGCTCAGATATTATAATCTTTTTAGATGGATCTAGGCTAGTAGACAG